CGACCACAACTAACCGTTTGTAAATATTATTCCATCAAAGATGAATCATTGCTATTGTAAATACCTTGGTCTGCGCCTAAGTTAACATCATCGAAATCACTTATGTTGAATCAATAGCTTAGTTTTAAAAAGGCTAAATGTGCTATATTACTACAAGCAGGAAAGTAGAATTCCCCAATAGTCGCCGAGTCGCCATTTCTTTCGCAGGAATTACTTCACTTCATCTCCCGCTCTCGGTTTTTGATATGGATCACTGCCCGTTATTACATCATTGGACGCGGCGAGGGGAAGTAAAAAGTATAGGTACGAGGTTGAGTTGTTGTGAAGGTTATGATATTGAAAGCTCAATTTTGTTTTCAAAGGTTTTTTCCAAGCTCGTTGCCAGGAAGAAAGTGGGAAACTGAATAGAAAATACGGGTTTATAGCAAGAATGAAAAGAGAAGCTGAATATTTATATAAGAAAATATAGAAAATTTATCCTACTTGTTCAGACACGAAAAACACTTTTGATAAAATGTTACTGATTAAATTAACAATAAAGTGTTTTATTTCCAAACCATGAGCTTTGTAGATTGTGTATTGATTTATAATTTTTTTGATAAGCTATGATTTAACATGTTTCTCGCCAAGAATAGCTTAAGTGAGTTGAAGGGAATCCTTCCCTTTTGTCGCCCTTTTTACCTTAGTATGCTCTTAAATATTGACAATTCAGTGTATAAGCCTTCGGTTTTCCAAATGTCGTCAGGAGTTTAGGAGGACTTAGGTCGCACATCCGCGAGGATCTTTATCAGGAAAATGAATCTCTATTTCAAACTAAGGAACGAGCAAGGAATTGACTGATAATAAAATACAAGAGCTGATGTCAACCTCAGTTACTGCTCCCACGGTCGATTGAGGCGTTACACTTCCATTATACTTGACGTTAAAGGAAAAAACAATTGTTCTCGTTTTGTGAATGTGGTTCCCTAATGCAACGGGCTAAGTTAGAGAAGCGGCAGAGCAGTGAGGGAGGGAAGGGGGGGCTTATGAATACATTGATGGTAACGTTCAAGTGCAAGAGGTACGACCTGGCGCGGAGCTGAGCCTGGAAACGCGATTAAGGATGGTTAGCAGCTGAACTGATTCTCTGGCAGACCTTCTAAACACTTCAAGGAAGTTCATTTTTCCTGTTTACATCTTCTCCAAAACGATCATCCCGTGTAAATGAGTTTTTAAGATAGAGCTCAGCTAGAAGCAATGCAGAAATTTTATGCTTGCTGTGTTTTTGCCGAACAATAAACGAAAATTATATCCGCTTCCACGAATTTCTTACACGAACCTGTAGAACTGAACTTTTCGTAGATATGTAAACTAAAGGGAAGGCATCTAATAAAAATCCTGCCACAACTGTTCCTAGATCCAGCTAAAACTTCTGTTATACCCTATGTTTTGTTGTAGTATTGTTTAGCGAACGAAAACTTCGAAGGTCTGTTGTCTTCCGTTTTTGACCTTTTCTTCAATGATTTCTTTCATTTTCTGGCATACTTATCTGGTATTGCTGCAGTGTTAGGCCAGTTTCTTGGGCGTCTGAGTACAGGTTTCCATACCTAACTTTAACTGTCAATCGTCAGTAGGAAAATAATCTGTGGTGAGCGCCTTGCTAAGCGAAGGTCTTATTTAAGCATTTTTCTGCTCTGAAGTATTGTGTTGAGAGTTTCGCATGAAGGATTTCGCGTCGAGGATTTAGCGTGTTTTAAAGAATATCATTGTTGGTAGCTTTCAGTTTAGATATTGTTCACATAAGATCTAAGCGTGTAGTACAGGCTCTATTGTTTCTTGGTCTTTTTGTTCCGTACTTTAAAAGTCATCGGCTGTATCTTTTACATCTGTGCAAGGATGGGATAACGGTTACGCCGGAATACGTCGAAAATAAAGAAACTATAGAGAAATATGTTTTTTTGTCTTTGTCACGAGCGTGGGACAAAGGAAAAACTTCTGAGTCTCCAAGAGTCCCCTCATCATTCTAAGTCCCCTCATGGGAACTCAGAATTTGTCTTTATCCCACGCTCGTGACAAGACGAAAAAAAAACATCTTTCTCTATTTCTTTACTGAGCTCAAAACTTACGGTCTCTCTTATTCTACGAAGAAACTATCTATGTCAGTTTCCGGACAAGAAAATTTGGATAATGAAGAAGAAGGAATTTTTTATCATTATTATTTATAGTTTCACAGAGGCAAAAATCAAGGTTTAACTTCTGGCCGAAAATGTATGATATCGATTGGCCGAAAGGACAAAGCCAATTTTTATACCTCACGACCAAAAGATTATAAACTGTTTATAATCTCTTGTCCGAACTCAAACGCTCTCTCCAATAAGGGAAGAACTTGTTAAGTGCTAGTGGTAAAAACTCATAAACTCCTTAGGGCGAATTACGAACAAATTACCCTAAAAAAAATGATGACACACTATTTGCCTCTAGTGCCTTTTACAATTGTCAGGTTGCTATAAATTTTAATTATAAGTAAAAGGAATTTAAAAAACGGTGTATTCCTGATTCTTCACTGAAACTTTTTATATTTTAGGACCTCACTTTTTTTCATGTAGAAAATTAAGATTTGCAACCTTAACCCTGCTTGCTTTCCCGCATATTAAGCGTTCCCCTTGGCTTCGCCTCGGAGAAAAAAACTTATCCCCCATGACCATTCATAAATAGTTGTTGAACACATTTTGCATAACAAAGGTATATCGAGCTATACAAACAGCTCTGAAACCAAAAGTAGGAGGATGAAAAACAAAAGATATGAGATATGAAACGTAATATTTCAGGTAAAAGCGTTTTCAAAAGTTCACCGACAGTTACAACTTTTTCTGCCATTTTAGTAAATTCTGTAGTCATTAACGAGTACACAATTAGACCAATACTCGTAGAGAGTGATAAGATCGTAATAATACTTCAACAGTACCGCAGAACCGTCGACAATTCTAGACAATTTTACTGCCACTTGACAGTCTTACAACAGTTCAGAAAAATAACGGAGAAAAAAGCTGACGGAGCTCTCTTAAGGAACGAAGATTGAGTCACATGTCATGAACAAAAACACTCACCGGAAAATGAAAGAAGTGCAAAGGTTATGGGCATCACATCAGAAATGAACCAAGTATATAGCGCTTGGTACCTGGACGTCAGCCAAGATGAAGCGGAACTGATTAATTGTCAGCGTTTCAGGTCTCTCAGAAAATCAGAAAAAGCTCCAATAAACGACGTCGCACGTAAATCTTTTATTTGTGTGGTTATTTTGCATAGTTTAATCCTTTAACTCCCATGAGTGACCAAGACAGAATTTCTCCTAACAAAATCGATACAATATCAAGCAGACAAGCTTGATATTGATATCAATTCAATATCAAGCAGAGGCTTCGCCTCGGAGAAAAAAACTTATCCCCCATGACCATTCATAAAATAATTGTTGAACACAAACCGAAAGTAGGAAAATGAAAAACAAAAGATGTGAGATATGAAACGCAATATTCCAGGTAAAAGCGTTTTCAAAAGTTCACCGACAGTTACAACTTTTTCTGCCATTTTTTTGTAAATTCTGTAGTCATTTACGAGTACACATTTAGACCAATACTCATAGAGAGTGATAAGATCGTAATGATACTTCAACAGTACCGCAGTACCGTCGACAATTCTAGAACCTTGTTCAGGTAAAAAAAGGCTTGAGCTCGCGAGAATTCCCATCGTGTAATTTCATGATTTCAGTAGGATAAAGTGGCAAGAGTTATTACTAATTCCCCCTGAACAGAATGCCAGCCAAACGCAAGGTTGCTTCCAGCACGTGGCATGGACTATCGGGCTCGTTGAACTCGCGAAAAAAATGAGCCTCGAATCGTTGCCCTATCTTTCGACTCTTATGCCTTTTACAATTGTCGGGTTCTTTTTATTATTGGTAAAATCAATTTTAAAAACGTGTACTCCTTATTTTCTGCAGAAGTTTTTCACGTTTGTGATACTTCGATTTTTTTAAATTGCATTTGGGTTTTTTTTTTGTTTTTGTACTGAATAAAGTCGTAAGGTGGCCTGCATATATAATTTTTCTCATTCTTGAGCTGGATGGTATAGCAGAACGAGTAATGACTAGCGCCTCGGGAGGCACTGAGTTTTGTTTTCTGTCGGCCTTACATGTTTACTTCGGTTTCGCCTCGAGGAACATTGAGTCTCTAGGCAACAAAGTGCGCTGTTTCCCTTAGGGTCAATGATTAAGTACTCATCCGGCATTGCCACCGTGATGGAAAAAATGGAACTGCCACTTGACTGTCTTACAACAGTTCAGAAAAATAACGGAGAAAAAAGCTGACGGAGCTCTCTGAAGGAACGAAGATTGAGTCACATGTCATGAACAAAAACACTCACCGGAAAATGAAAGAAGCGCAAAGGTTATGGGCATCACATCAGAAATAAACCAAGTTTATAGCGCTTGGTACCCGGATGTCAGCGAAGATGAAGCGGAACTGACTAATTGTCAGCGTTTCAGGTCTCTCAGAAAACCAGAAAAATCTCCAATAAACGACGTCGCACGTAAATCTTTTATTTGTGTGGTTATTTTGCATAGTTTAATCCTTTAACTCCCATGAGTGACCAAGACAGAATTTCTCCCAACAAAATCAATACAATATCAAGCAGACAAGTGACGCGAATAAACAAAACAAATTCTTAATTAGGGGATTATTAGTTGATCCAATGCCAAATTCTCCAAACTAACATCACAAGAACTATATGGCAGACAGTAAGGAGAATTACTTATGATATCTTGAGAGTTAAAGGGTTTAGGAATGAACAGGAAGAACTTGTTAAGCTTCCTGCTGGTGCCTGATCGCTTTGTTCGTATACTAATTTCATCGCCTTTAATTGAAAACCTTTGAGGTCCGTACCATTTCGATAAAAGAAGAAGCCAAAGTTAACTATTTTTTATCTAATATCTTGTTAACACACGGTTGCAAGAAATCTAAATCGTCTTTTCGCCAGCCCTAGAAAAGAAACTGAGGGACTAGATAAACTTTATAATGCATCGGAAGAAAGTGGTAGGAATAATATTACTTTTGACAGGAATCACTCTGATAGTCCTCGGCCTTGTCATTGGATTTGTAGCACCAAATATGGTGCTGAAGAAAGTTCAGGAATCGATATGTGTCAACAGCAAGGATAGTCCGGGCTATAAAAGATTGGTGAGTGAAATTTGTGTCTCTTCCATGATTGAAATATTGCCTTCAGCTACACTCAAGAGGTAAGATGAACATCATAAAAAACAACAAATTCTGACGGTAAAGCTCAAAATATCCAAATGTTCTCTGTTTATACAAACATGCGGTTGCTTCCTGAAACAATCAACTTTTTCCTCCGCAAATTCGGTTGGTGATAACGAGTCGAAACTGAAGCAAGCAACTTTCGCTAGATTTTTGTTTCAAAACTATCATTCCTAGAAACGTTCGTAAGAAATGGATTATCATTGTATGTGAACTGCATAAAAAGGTGACAGCTGTCATAAAACTGGCTCGGTTTTAGCATTGTTTTTCGACCAAGCACTACATCTCAGAACTCAGTAAATTTATATTTCTCGCTAAGTAAATAATAATTTAAAAATGCAAAATATTTGAATTTACAGAAGTTCATTAACAGCGCATAACCGAAACTAAATAACGCATTAATGTTGCTTTCAAGACCACAATTAAGCGACTCGGTCGCTTGCCGGCCGATAAACTAATGTTTTCATGTCAAACTTTGATCATCTCTGTGTTTTCGAAAGAATCACTTTTAGTTTCCTACTAAGTCATACCTTAGTTCATGATCATTGTTATGGAAAGTATTCTGTCCAAATAACTACTTCGACTTTGACCTCGAATACAGATCAGCTCGAACTGTTTTGTCACAAAAGGGGCCGTAAAATAAGGATAAATATCACACGCCAGGTCGATAAAAGAGAGTGGAGTGTAGAATATAGACGTTTCTGGTCAGACAAACGGCGTGAATTTGAAGACCCGGGCGGAACATCCTATTTAAATTCCGCGGCGTACACCCGCAAGTGAGAAAGAATATGAGCGTACGATTCGTATTTACTTGTTTATTAACATGTGCAAACTCGATATTTGCGCTCTCTTTCTTCAATGAAAATAGAGGGTTCACGTCTTCCCTGAGCTAATCTTTCTCATTCACTGTACAGGGGAATCCGAGTCACTTTCTAACAAAAGTTTACTACTGGAATATCACAAACAAAATGGGATTTTTTTATCGAGGAGAGAAACCGCAGGTACGTAAAAAAAATAAACAAACAAAAACAGGAACAAATGTTATGCAATAAAGTGCGAATAAGTGTGGTGTCTAGATTCAAGCTAAGACTCCTGAGTGACTGAGTGACTGAGTGACCCAGCAAAGGAGAGAACTACTAAGCAAAAAATTTTAAGAAAAAGTTAAGCATGACCTCTTGAGGTAGGTTGAAACCTCGATTTCAATCATCTAAGCCGATAAAAATCTAGTGTGGGTCTTCTAATTGTTTCATCACAGCTCTACTATTCATAACATATCATCGTAAGTTTTGGAATTGAAAAGTTAAAAAAGTACAAGTACGCCGGCCAGTCAGTAACATTGCATCACACTTGATATCTGATGCATCACTCGTATCTCAGTGCATGTCTCATTGCATATCTCATTGCATCACACTAGATATCTGATGAGTAGAAAAAACCTTCCAACCTTTTTAGCTTTGGGGTATTGGGAGGGAGATCCCGTACTCCGTGTTACCTCCCCTTTTTCCCTTCCCACGGCTCTAAATGGAACAATATTTGATCTTCAGTACGGACCTTACAAAGAATATTATCCAATATTTTTCAGCTCAGCGAAAAGGGTCCTTATGTTTACAGTATGACATCGAAGGAAATTGACGTGAAGTTTGGCAAAGGAACAATTACAAGCAAGTCATTTCAACGAGCCAAATTTAATAGAACACTTACAGAGAAAGAATGTCCAACATGCCGAGAAAGCGATGAGGTTTGTTGTCTAAAGTATCTTTGATCATTACAATAGTAATAAGATACATGAAAAAATTTCTCAGTACTGATTGGTGAAGATAAATACAGTTTTCAGGTAATTCAATGCAGAATAGGGTTAATTCAGTGCAAAGAAGTAACAACCCAGACTGAACAATTCCTTGAACTATTTAGCCGGCCTTTAAACTTCTTTTCGCCTCAAAGATGTGAAAATATCATTGTATATTATTGTTTTGGTCGTACGTGATTGTTTTGACCGAACGCACGATGTCACTTGCAGGGTTTGAATAAATTATTTTTGCACTTGATGCGCACGCTTTGCATCTGCATAATTCTCGTGCAATTTGGAATGAATAAGCACTTATAAATTTTTTCAAAGACCATGAATTGCACTCACCCTACGGGCTCGCACAATATTTTTACTCTTTCATCAATTTTGTTAGAGTAAAAAATTTACTCGTGCTTATTTATTTAAAAAACTAAAAAGAATGAAAATAAATTAAATAGCTTGGAAGAGCTTTTCAAGATAGGTAGATCGTTTATCTAAGCATCTTTTGGTTTTCTATGTGATTGTTAGTTTTTGTAAGCTGCTTTGAGTTGTCACAAAAGCGGAAATATGACCTGTTTATCAGCTGATTATTAAGTTTATGTTCATCTTCGTCTTCTTATGTAAGATCTTTTTTTTAACATGATAAGTTTCATTCATATCTGATTCTTCCCAAAGTGCTCGTTACTGATAATCGGTATCAACTTTGGAAGTGACTCACTTCTATCCCACAGAGGAGACATACCGAACGTGTGGTAACTTCTACAATATATCTCTAATTGTTGTTAGTTCGTTGTTAATCTGGTCTCTTTTCTTTTGCTCTTAATCAGCTAACGATCTTGAATGTAGGTTACCTTGGTATAATGCAAAGAGTTGGATCTGCATGGGAATTCAGCTTCGCTTTCATTCCGATGATAATGAACATCCTGTTCCTAAAACTCAGTGCAACGACAAAACTAAACAAGACCTCTATTCTGCTTGAAATGGGAAAAACACACAATCAGCTGCCTCTGAACTCATCATGTTATCCAGCGTTTGGTTCTTGGCTCAATTCGGTTCCTAAATTTTTCCCACTGCGGAAAAATTACACGCTTAAGGAGATGAACGGTTTATACGGTGCATTGATGGATCCTTCCAAATTTGGACCATTTGATAATCCAAAGCTTCTGAAAAGATGCCGAAGTGGAAACATAACTGAAGATTGCGGTCTTGCATTGAACTTACTAGCCTTACAGAAAGGTGAAGGGGAAAAACTTGCTGCGATTAGGTCCGTAAGAAAAATACTGTGCCCAAACAAGATAACATCTTGTTTTCCTGTTCCATGTATTTTTTGCCCAAGTTTCTTTATTATATTAAGAGCTGTGGGCGAATTCATAATAGAGTTGTCCAAGTATGTGCTTTGGTATCTCGATGATAATAACTACGGGCTCACAACAACTCGAAGCCAGGATGAATTATCTCATGGTTACGTGATAAAACTGCCGTTACCGGGTCATCCATTAGGGATACATGTACCAGGCCCAATCAACTTGGATACCAGCGAAAAAGAAGTGATCAAAGCGGGAGGGAACTCGACCCTGTACACGTGTGAGTCAGACGAGCCATTCAGTTATGCAGGTAAACTTGCGACATTTCTTATTTGAGTATTGTGCATAAATGTAATGTATCAGTGTCTTAATTTTCCATAATAGGCAATAAGCTTAAGAACTTTTAACACTAAAGAACCACCAAATTCTAGCTGTAGACGTGAAAAAACACTTTGTGATTTCTTGATTCCAAACAGCTCCTGCATATATACTCGGAGAGCATTGGAGCACATTTTCAAAACTTTCCGTCGTGTTGAAAAAGAAAAGAGAAAAATATTACCTGACGTTAGCTTTGCGTGTGCTCTCTAATTGATCATAGGCACCGACCAATCACTGAATGCATACGTTCTATTTCATTCTCTCTTTTAGCAATTAATGGTAAGAGTCGAGTCAACAAGGATTTCTACCCAAATGCATCTTCCGATCAGCTGAGGGTTCGAGGCTATGGGTATCAATATCCAGGTGTCAAACACTTGAAAGCTTGCTCCGCGATATACACTCCAGCGGCTAAGAAATACGAGCTTTTCGTATCAACATTTCGCATGGCTGTTCCCATTACTTACAAAAGAGATGTCAAAATAGATGACATTCCGATGCACAGATATGTGATAAGTGAGTCTGCAGTTGAGGTAAATAATATGACCGTGTTTACCAAAGGTGTTTTTGATGTCAGCCGAGTATTGAAAGCTCCCATCTACACCAGCCTTCCAGGATTCCTTTACGGCGAAGATTCCTTGTATGGGGACTTAGGTCTTCCCGTTCCCAACGAACAAAAATATGGATCTTATGTGAGTATAAATATCTACACCTTACTCGATGAAGTATAACATACAAGTTTAGCCAGGGTTCTTAACACTTTGGAGAAAAATATTGTTCCGTGAAGAAGCCCTTTCATTTCAGAAATTCTCAATCAATTTTAAACCACCTCTATCCACCCACCTCCCTTGATCGATTGATCGATGTTACACTGCGAATGTAAGGTGAGAGACAGAAACGTCAGCATTGTGCTGGGCGAGGGAGAGGATGTGAATTCCGAGAGGATCCGTCGAGAAAAAAAACAAAGAGTGGCGAGGCTTTTGTCTTTTGAATGTAGATCATAATCGACAAGTGGTCTAAAATGTGGTTTTCTATAATGCCTTTTAAAACACTCTTAATAATATAATGGGATTGGTCAACCAGCCTAGAGAGATCTTACCAGGTACTTTGTTCCTTTTACAGCTTAGTATTGAACCAATATCCGGAACAGCAATGCAGCTTAAGATTCGCTACCAGCTGAACGGAAAAATCATCGCTAATTCGTCACTGTCCCCATATTACCCAGAAACTAAAAATGTGAGTTATGAAGATAAGATGATACCAATCTTGTGGACGGAAAAAGAAGCAAGTATTGATGCAATGACTTCGAAGGAGTTCCGTTCAAAGGTAGGTATACTGCATTAGCGCGGATCAAACCCTCTAGTGTGTCGTGGAGCCCTTATTAGCACTGAAAAATGTTAGGTTCATTGTTTGTGTTTCGGGAAAATTCATCTTAACATAAGACTTTTTTGCTGCAGATAAAATGATATTTTTTAAATAAAAACACAAAACTGAACATTGAAGCTTTGAACGTAAACACCTGACATCATGTTCCCTTCCTCTCAAAAAATCCTCGCAACTTTATCTAGGACTGCCAGAGTTTGCCTAAGGTGCCAAACTGACCAATGCCTGTGTAACATTCAATTATTGTTTCAGGTATTGGGAAGCCTGCAACTCTTTTGTGGTTTTTTCGTGGCCTTGCCTGTGATTGGCGGCATCTTTGTCATAATAGGCGTAGTTTTCATCGTTCTGGCTGTCAAGAAGACTAAGTATGAAAGACTAGTCTGAGGGATCGGTAAAGATTATAACTGAAGTTCGGGAAATCAATTATTCACTATTCACATTTGCCTGTCCGATCCAAATGTAAGGTGATCAATTCTGTTTGTAAGTCTTCCGTTTGTTATACACCTCCATTGATTTCATGTCCCCGTCCTTCGAACTGTTGCTTTTACAAAATTGAAATTGCTCAACTGAAACAGAAACATGTCAAATAAAACAAAAATTTCGTTTGATTTTTTCATCCATCATTCGCCAGACCCTACTCAGCAAGCCTTCAATACGTCTCTTTGATGAGATTTTGCTGGTTCGTGCTGAAACATGTTTATCGTGATAATTGAGAGATTAGAAATTTTATGTAATTTAATTTGTTATTAATGTTCAACTAGGAGTCATGTAGCGTGAGATCACTGATGTAATGTAAAAGTATCTCTCGGCAAGTGCCTTGATCCTGTGGGTGAAAAAATCCCTTTTACTTACACTCAGGATAAAATAACATAAAATTTCGTGTCTTAATAATCTTATAACAATAATACTGATTTTCTTTTGTAAATTTGTTGCTTGTCATCGAGGACGAACCTTCAATAAACTCGTCAAAGCTCAGAATATAATGCAAAGTGTATTAAAAACCACGGGAAATTCTCTTGAACTGATTACAGAACACAACTGTTTCAGTAAAAGAGTTAATGCCCTAGAAAATAAAAACGTTTCCCGCTGACTAATTTTACACTGAAAATGATTATTACACAAAAAATAAAGAAACCTTAGAGCTGGAAAGTTCAGAAAACGAGGTTGTCCCCTCTCTTTATTAAATATAGTGGAGCAAATCTCATCCCAGCACAGTTCGAAGCACCTTTTGAGATGCAATTCGTTTGATTGCACTTTCATGACAGCCACCACGCCCTTTGTTACGCGCTCGTAATACTCAGAAATTCTCTCCTGACCGTTTCGGTTTTCACAAAACAGTCGATTGTATTATTTTCCGCATGTCACCGTATAATAGGTTAAAAATTATTCTTTTAGCAATTTATTTCCCACAGTAACATAAAAGAGCAATATCCTCGTCTAAAACTCGACCACACGAACGATAAAGATTATGGCAGAACCTTTCTATCCTGTTATCCTGATTATTTGGCTGGTTGGTTGCTCGGACAAGATGTCTGGAAAATCGTATCTATAAGCGTTACTTACTGCAAGAAAACTCAAGATAAATTACTTTACTCGTATATAAAACCAGTTAGCCTTAAAATCAGGCATGCGAAACTCTAACCCTACATCTGGAGAAGAAAAGGACGTCAATTTCCTCAGTAACCATTCAGTTAGAACTTATCACTTGTGATAATATGGACTCAAACATGTCTTTGGCGGGAACAGAACTGAAAAACAAGTGTTCAATTGGTTTCTCGGCGAGACTGCGCAGAGCAGCCACACTCAGAAGTATTTTACCAAAGCGAGCCGGTTGAGCCGGAAGTCTGGACCAAATGTAATCTGCAAGTATAAGCTGAGCCTCGTCTTGAAGTTCTTCGACTTGATCTGCTGCTTTAAGACCCTGAATATCTGCCAAGAAACACATGAAACAGATTTAAAACAAAATACATTTAGGGAATACAGGAATGCTTGTTGTAGCAGTCACAGGGAAGAAGAAATATACAGCGAGTGGTCGAAGCATAGCGGGAATGTCGAACTGAAACAAACAAGGAGGCCATCAAACCTCCGAAATCCACAAAACTTCTTTGTTCACCCCCTATTCCGCTCGTATCCGTTGACTGTGTGCCTGGAACAGGCTAGGCCAGAACTTTTGCATGCAGGAGGAAAGCAGCCCGGGCGACTGGTTTTCACTTAGCAGAAAGTACATGAATTTTCAAAGATATAAATTGATATCCCAAAATTCCAAAATGTGGATATTTCAAATCATAAGAGGAAATCTTTATAAAGCTCTCTCAGCCAGGGTCATACAATGTCTGTCCCCATAATCTCCAGTTGGTGATGATGCTTCAAATGATCTTCGCCCTCAAGTGCAGCCTTCTGCGTTACATCGTATATCATTTGTTGTACTTAGTACTGTTATGCTAATTAAATTCCACCATGCAGCAGCCTAAACTTCCCTTCCGTCATAAAATCCCTTTCATGTCAATTATTCCTTTGATGGACAAAACTTCAATGGAAAACCTTAAGTCAAGAATAGATGGACGTTTACTGATACACAGACTTTTTTAAAGCTAATTTCAAGCTGGGAGTTGATCACATGAAGCTTTTAAGAGAACTTATATCTATCATATCATTCTTTCTCAAGTAAGCGATTGCGAATTTAAAACAACAGAACTCTTTTGCAATATAAGACGGTATAAACGAAACAATACCCCTTCCCTCCACCTCACCTCCAACAAGCTAACGAAGTGCTAACTTACTTGTCCTGAAAAGGATGATAGCCTTGAGACATGCGTACTCAGAGCTGTCCAACTTTAGTGATTTCAAAGGCATAAGAGCCTCTTGCATGTTCTTAAATTCTTGTTCACGTCGCTGATTGCTCTCCGCCTCAGTAACACCTCCTGGTGACAGCATCCAGAAAACTGAATCCAGAAGCAACATTTCTCTCCATCCTTCTTCCAAAAGGATAACTTGGTCACGAAAAGGCAGGCGCCTGAAGCAAGGAAGTCTGCGACCAAACCTCAGTGATACCGATAGAAGACGTACAGCTGCGTCATGGAGAGGCTCAGAGGTGTGAAACGAAAGAGGTTCCACCGCCTGATGGAGCTCTGATAGGCCTATCTGCGAGGCCTTTAAGTGCCTTTGGACGTTCCTGAAAGACACAAGAGCCGTGGATGTCATTCGATGGCTGTTGATAGCAGCGTCTCCGTTAGGCAGCTTAGGAAAGGAGGCGGTTGAACCCTGGTATCCGTTCTGATGAATTGACGATATAGGGGAATGGAATCTTTGCGAAGAGAGTGGTGTTGTGGATAAACCAGGACGGATGTTTGTGCCACTCCCCTGTACAGTTAAGGACACCCTGACAGGGCTAGGGATGGGTGAACACGTCAGTGGGGTGGTGTAAGGAGAAGCCCGATGGATTGGGCTGTAGTGGTTGTTATTTTCCGAAGGATTTCCGTTTGGTTGCCGAGCGACAACTTCGTCGTCTCGTGTTTCGTCGTAAGATTTCGGACTTGAGGGTGCTTTCTGAATATCTTCTGTGGTATGTTGCTGTTCTTCTGTATTTTTTTGCTGTTCTGTAAGTTGCTGCTGTTGTTGATTTGGCTGCTCTTCTGTTTTAACCATTACTGTTTTTATTTGAGCAAGCCTTATTTGCGAGGTCGCAACAGGAAAACCTAAAACCAATAAGGAAGCTTTTAGCGTAAGAGAGAAGGAACAAATATACTATGAATTAATTAGCAATTGGTTCATACGTCAGCGTGGGTTCATCGAGATATGAAGCGCGCGGAAAGTTTGGAAAGCACGAAAGATGCACGAAGAGACTGTCCACTAACAACAACAATGAAGTAACTTACCGAGAGCTTCCGGCGATGGTGACCCCTCAATGCGCATGTCACTCTGTGCATTGACTGCTGAACCATCTAAAGGAGGTGATTGAATAAGTTCTTCACTCAATCTTGAACGGCGATACACACCTGTGAAGGACAGAAGTCCTTCTGTTAATAATCACAATTTAAGGTCCCAGACGAGATATTTTAATAGTTTGTTGTCACCACCGAAAATAAGCCCCAGTATGGAGTCTGCCATAAAATATCACTCAAATTGCTTTGACGAAGGGCTATCACTAGAAACCTTAGGTTTAGAAACTCTTTATAGTGGCAAATTTACATCATCAACTCAGGCGATAAAACCAAATTGTCTTGCAACATTCCCCACCGACGCAGCACTACAGTTTCGTTAGAAACCGCCCCCCTGTTTTGCATATTGCACATTATCATACCGCTACGAAATATTTTAGTTAATTATCCCCTGTGGGACTCTTTGAATGGTCTAAGAGTAGAAGTTTCGTTAAGTAAGTACTTACTCTGTAAGTACGCTAAATTTGTCGCGCTTTTGTTGTCTTTTCTTGATCGTTTTTACATTTGTAACCATGTTATGTTTCTTTGATTTTTTTTGTAGTTTGAAAATAATCAATTGAATACACTATAGTTCAAAAATCTACCAAACTGTCGATGTCTCTAATAAAAATCCAAATCACTTACTTCATAAATATTCTTTTAATATGGAAAAAAAAACAATGCAGTGTAGAGAATATTATAATGGGGACTGTTGATTAAGAAAATGCAAAAAAACACTGAACAAATGAAGGTAGACGAAATTCAAAGTACTTCTCTCGGGAATAATATGATATCATGCTTGTACAGAAACTCTAAGGCGCAAAAAAATTCAGTTGAATTTCACTCTACAGTTTAATTCAGTCGCCACATCAGTGTCCAGTGAACTGCCAACTAAAATTCGAGAGTTTGCCTCGCTCCCAAACGGAGGCTTCGTAGCTCAGTTTAGGAAATTGCGCCCGACTAGTATCTGGGAGGGATGGGAGGGATGAGACAGATTCGAAACCCGTCAAAGCCTGAATTTTTTCAAGAAACTTTCTGCAATGACTAAAATTGAAGTCCACCTACGAGGATCACATCTTTGCTTGAGTGCTCTTCTTTGACGAAGCTACGATTTTGAAAGGAATAACGATATAAACAGCATATAAAAAAATTAAGGCCAACGGTCCTTTAAGAAAGATTATATGACTGGCTTTGAATCGTCAAGTCTTTAAACACAATGATGTTTGCGCGTCTCATAGAGGATAAGACCAGTATTGAGGTCTCTTGCATGCTGGTGTGGGGGAAATTTAGTGCAAGGTGGTTAATGATGTGAAGAGTTCCTTCTCTCGTAACGTTCCACCCTTCAAGTAACATCTTACAAGAAACCTTGTGTTGAAGCAGGAGATTCACTTTTGTATAGCTTCAGAGGAAACGAAATACCATTGTTATAACACAAATCATTAAAAATCAAATGGCTATCAAGACTATATCCTCGAGGTCTTAAAATCACAATCCCTGCTGCAAATTGTAGTTTTATAGAAAAGGAAATTGCTTTGACGCCTACTCTTAGGTGCTAATCTCTAGCGCTCACGAAAATGAAAGTCAGCTTGAAATCGACTTAACATGAAGACCATAATTAAAGTATTTTTTAAATCTTCCCTTCATTGATTTTGCATGGATTCGAAGCCTTAAACTCCCTTCTGCGGATCGTAAGTTAGGGGTAAAATGCGCGAAGTCATTACATTAAGTTTCGAACAAGAGAGATTCCGCTTTCCATTTTTATCTTGTATTAAAGATAAGATGAATGTGTTCATTCTATATCTTCTGTAGTTTCATATTTCACACTTTCCGTGCCACTTAAACAAGACTTGGGAACAGCTGTCACCAGCCTTTCACATATAAAACCAAAAAATAAGTGAATAGTACTAATTACTAAAAAGCAGAGGGTGATAGAATAAAACCGTGCTCTGAAGAAAGAACAGAGACATCAAGTGTGTGCATTAACACTCACTCATAATGGCAACAGTAAGCTTTGATTCAACTACAATGATTGATTCATTGGTTAATTTATTCATTCCGCCAGCCAAAATGCCCACAATGAAAGGAGCATGAATCTTGTGAAGACATAAGTAAATCTATCAAATCCAAGCGCTTCAAATCAGCGGAGATTTCATTATTTTTTTTTTTATGAACGGAATCAATAACCAGAAAGTCACCAAAAAATCCCACTTAAATGGAAAATTATTGAGACTAAAACATACTATTAAATTCGCTTAACACGCACCTGAAAAGCGCACAAATCTAAGTTTTTAAACAACAATATGATCGGTTAGAATTATTTAAGCGAAAACTGAACAAATACGCCACATTTTCCGTTCATCTTTAGATACACAAATACACAGATAGCAACCGTTTCGATCGAAACAAGTTTCTGATCGAGCTACACAAAGTAGAGGGGTTTTCTCAAACTTTTCGTCTTTAGTCACTTAAAAAAGGGGCATTTGCGTTATCACATTTTGATTTCTTTGACCTTTCTCTACGAGTTTCAGAAATACTAGTAAAACTCTGTTACCCCTCTGAACACCTTAACCAGATTCTCAATATCAATTCAATAACGAAACATTTTGGAGAGATGTTTCAAAGCGAAGCGCTTGGCAAAGAAAAATGAAAGACGACAGGTACTAAGAAACGAGAGACGAACATAGTCTGCCCAAATGTTAGGTGGAATTGAAAAGATGCTTATTGCAAATTTTGTTTGATCACGAAGAGTATCATTCGTTTCTATGCAAGCGGACTACAAATTAGTCCAAAACTCACCGTCTAAATTCATGCCGATCTCGACACATTTCTTGAGCCGGCAAGCTTTACAGTCATTGCGACTGCTTTTGTCCACCGGACAATGTCCCTGGCCTTTGCACAGCCAGGGCTCCGCTCGTCGGGACGTTCTTTTGTAGAAGCCACTGCACCCATCGCATGAGTACACTCCATAATGTTTCCCAGTGGAACGATCACCACACACCTCACAAGCTGCAAAAAAAGGTTGTTCCATGTTATAGAGAGGAAGATGGTGAAAAGAGAAAGATGCTCATTCGTCTGTAGAACAAAGAAACGATTCTGAGTCCTTACTAGGAATCAAATTTAGTAATGGCATGGCTCACCGTAGAATCTCTGTGGCTCAGTGGTAGAAAATAGAAGCGAGGAATCTGAAGGTCTGAGGTTCAATTCTTCATGGGGTCTCAGAATTTACTTTGTTTTACGCTCGTGACAAGCGCAGATATCTTGCCCAATCAAATGGTTAAAACACTAAGAGCCTTTCTAATGTAGGGAGCGAATCGAAATTTTAAGATGAGAGGAAAGTTAGGAAAAAGTGTAGGCAAACCATGACAACACATCGATTATTGGTAAAATGAAAGGAAACTTTAATTGTCGCCTCTCGTTTCAGATCGTTTTTTCTGCGAATAGTTAAACAGACTTTGAAAAGAAGAAAGCCAAGAAGGAAATTTCCGCTTTAGTGGATAAGCAGTGAAGACGCAAAAATGAAAGGAATCGGTAAAAGGGTAATATGTAAAAGAAACCTTTAATGAGTTACCTCACGCTATGAATGATTTTTTTTTTCTAATAATAGAGCAGACTTTGCAAAGAAGAAAGCCAAAAAGGAAGTGTCAGCTTTATAGAATAAGCAATGAACACGCAAAAATGAAAAGAATTGATAAAATGGTAAAATGAAAACGAAACCCTTAGAAAGTTACCTCACGTTTTGAATCATCCTTCTGTGAATTAGAGAACAGACTTTATAAAGAAAGGAACCAAGAAAAAAATTTACTTTAGTGGATAAGCAATGAAGAGAAAACAGGAAGTGATGAAGATTTACAGGATGATAAAAATTACAAAGCCGTTTGCACGATAAAACTTGAACAAGAGTTTGATCATTCGACGATATTAACGTATGCAGTGTGTTCTAATCTGATGATGCACAAATCTACGATGACCTTTTTCCATTCAAAGGACAAAAATGAAATCAAAAGGTGTTCTTAGCGAGAGTTCGCAATATTAAAAAGCACAAAGTTATTGTCTATTTACAAAGATTGTTTTGGCAAAGCTACACGGTATTAGCAGAAAAAAAAAGACCAAAAAAACCTTTATGCTGGTTTTCTTTTTTTCTTTTTTATCATACCTTCCCAGGTAAAATTAAACCAACGCGAAAACTCTCGATCTCCAAAGTGTAAGAAAGAACTTCTTTCTCTAGACATCATGGTTCAAGATAATAGCGTCGACAAATACAGCACTGTCCCATTAAGATCCTGCGCAAAACCTTGCTCCGCCCGGACCTGAAGTGCTGTAGTTTTACAAACAGCTATTTAACAACCTTATCACAAAACACACTTAAACAAGTTTCGGATGACATTTCCAAGAAAGTGACCATCTTGTCATTAACAGAAAAGCTTTCACAGAGTTAAACTATGAACGCGAGTCTGTGTCTCCAATAATGAAAGCTTATACCCGAATCTTCTTGCAGGACGCATGCATACTTTCATATTTATTTAATGGATATATGGAAAACTTCATGATTACGCAAACTTTAAATATGACAAATTTACGACTTAAGTGTCGGAAAACAGCAAAGAGCGAGAATTGAATTTGCCGAGCGCCATTCAGCCGTTTTCAAATAACGTAATTCAAATGTTTTGTAAAAACGAAATTTCATTATTTTTCAATTTATTTTACTAAAGATTGAATAACGATAACCGAACCAGCACAAACTGTAAAACGATCAAATATCTCACCAAACACGAGACTGAGGAAACAATAATGGCGCCAAGAGCAAAGTTTAATTATTAGCAAGAAGAGATATGCGACATCTTCATAGGAAACGTTGCAAAGACATTTGTTATCGATCTATTAGAACAATCTGACGCAAGGTGGAACGAAAACTAAATTGGTGTGAAAAGTTTTACACCAAATGAAATGTAACTCTCCTTGAAAAGCAGTGCGCGGGTGAATGCAAAAATCTTAAAAAAAGAACCAGAAGCACCAGAGCCCCTCGGTCGGCCAAACAGCCGGTGACTCAGTCAGCTACTCTTTCATTCAGTCAGTCAGTCAATTAGAAACAAACTAAGTCTGTCAAACAGTCCTTCCGTCACTCAGTCAGAAACACACCAAGTCACTCAAACAGTTCTACAGTTGGTCAGTTAAACAGTCCCCAAATCAGTCAGTCAGTCAAACAGTCCCTCCATCAGGTAATTTAGTGTTAACAACTGAGTTGAAAACATAAATTAACCACCGTAAAGGGTAAAAAAGCTGACGTTTCGAGCGTTAGCCCTTCGTCAGAGCGACTGACGTTTCAACTCAGTTGTTAACACTAAATTACCTGCTATACTCTCCCACCGACGCAGCACCATAGTTTCTTTAGAAACGTACCCTTTTAGTCCCTCCATCAGTCAGTCAGTCTGTCAAACAGTCCTTCCATCAGTCAGTCAGTCAGTCAAACAGTCCTTCCATCAGTCAGTCAGTCAGTCAGTCAGTCAAACAATCCTTTCATCAAATGAATAAAGGGGTAAGTTTCTAAAGAAACTGTGGTGCTGCGTCGGTGGGAGAGTATAGCAGGTAATTTAGTGTTAACAACTGGGTTGAAAACGTAAATTAGCCACCGTAAAGGGTAAAAAAGCTGACGTTTCGAGCGTTAGCCCTTCGTCAGAGCGATGGATCCTTTCATCAGTCAGTCAAGCAGCACTTCCATGAGTCAGTCAGTCAGACAGTCAATCAGTTAAAGAGTCATTTAGTCAGTAAGTCAGGCAGTCAAACAGTCATTTAATCAGTCATTCAATCGGTAATAAAGTTAGCGAGTGGGTCATTCAGGCAATTAGTCGAGGAGCCAGTCAGTCAGTTAGGCAGTTACTCGATTGGCCAATCAGTCAGTCAGTAAAACATTCCGCATGGCATTCAATTGCAGGTTAGTCCGTCGGTCTATCATTTAATGGGTCAACTAATCAGCCAGCAGTCAGAAATCTTCAAACAAAGTCAGCCAGTGAAACACTCAGCTGGTCAGTGGGTCAGTTAGTCAGCCACTCAATTATTCAATCGGTCACTAAGTCATTTGGTCAATAAGTCAGTCATTCATGTGGTCAGTCAGTCAATAAGTTATTTCGTCAGTGTATCAGTTAGCCCGCAAGTTCGTGAGTCAATCTCTCAATCTCTCAATCAATTTGTCCGCCCGTCCGTCAGTCAGGCATCTAATCAGGATAGTATTTAAAAATGAAGTGAATAAATAGACAACAATATGAATAAATCAGTAGATAAATAAATAGCGGACGATCGCTGATGAGAGTGATTCAATGCAGTGTATAAGGACATAAGCTGAATGTAAACAGAGCACTCAATTCACATACTGCAGTAACAAAAGCTTGTTCCATCTGAATTTCAGGTTCACAACGACAGGAATGTTTATTTGCCGTTTAGATCTTAAAATAGAAATATCTAACGTCTCCAAAGTTCAATTACAGAAAAAGATTCAGTTTTTGAAAAGGCACCTTACAAGAGCAGCAGTAGGAGGAGTATTAATGTTAGTTCGTCCAAATAGTAACCTAAATAGAGCGTGTAGCCTAGTAACCGAACCATATCAGTTACTTTGCCCCTATGGCAATCTATGTGCTTCCATGTGACTAGAAAAACGTTTCTCGGTTTAACTTTTAAGTTTTCGTGGCGAAATATCATATTTCGTACAGCCTGTCATTCTCCAGGATCCCACCGCTTGGAGTACTGCTGAAATTCAGTCTACCACTTTCAGTGATTCATAGTTGCTATTTTTCAGTTGCCTCGGGCAAAGAAAATCAAAGCTCATAGGTGATGATTTGGCACCTTATGTACTGCAGGTAAGGCATGGTGTTGCAGATAATCAAAGAAAAAAGGCTTTGGCATATCCATGATGGCATGATCTCTTATCAACACGTATAAAAAATACGAAAAAATACTTCATTGTTCAAAGGTATCAGTAGTGAATGGAGACTCCTGTTCACGAGTCGCACAAGTTTCTGCAAAAGTTGTAAATATAACAGCTGAGCAACGATGAATTTGTCCTGTATAATCGTTAGAATATTTAGCACTCTCCAGATCGTTACATTATAGACTTTGAAACTCAAGATTGTAAGTCCTCCTGATCTGGCTCTCTGACGACAGGGTACCGCTGAAAGCAGGGGACTGCAGGCGCAACTTTATCTGTGTCCCTTGTTGGTAGAGTATGAACATCTGAACTACTGACCCAGCGTATGGTTTCATCCACGGTTTGAAAAAATATGATAGAAGTTGTTTTTAAAAGTCTGTCATTTCACTTAATCAGTGCCAAATATTCGTAATTTGCCTTAGAAATTTACCATCTGTATCTTTCATGTTTATTGTGGGTTTTGATTTTTTTGGTCAAAGCAGTGCTCGCAGCTTCAGCTGTAAGAATTTTTCAGGTTTAATTTCTTTCGTTGCAGATCCGGACTGCTGGAAATAGTGGGCATGAAAGGCATTACTGATGGAATTTTTTTGTTAAATTTCCTTTCATTTAAAGCTCCAGAAATTTCAGAAAATAGTGAGCATAAACAGCAATGCTGAAACTACAAAGTCGTAGTTATATCTTTCCGCTCCGAGTCAAGACATTTAGGTAATTTTCAACACCACTCATATTTGCATGAGTCAATTTTTTTTATACTTCCTCTTTCTGCTACTTTCGAATTGATACTAGCATTTGTTGAAGAGTGTTTATTCTCACAACTTCAACTATAACTCCGAAGTCTAAACAAGGGGACACGGTAACAACATCAACGACAACAAAAGCGAAAAAAAAGGAAACTCCAGGCTTGAAATCATGTTCAAAGTTCCAATCAAATATAAAAAATAGCCTTTATTTGGCGGGAAAATATGTGGATATTTGTCCGCGGATATCATCTGTTGCAAGATGCAAACAGTTTTCCGAGAGCGAAGCAGATAATGTCCGCGCACAAATATCCATACATATTTTCGCGCAAATAGAGGCTATTATGTTTATTTTCCTTCAAATATTTTGCAACGCGCGGGAAAAATGTGTACGAACAGCTTACTGTATATGCAGCGGAGATGTTTTCTTTTGAGTGTTGTCTGGTACGACTTTATGAACAAAAAAAGATTTCCCATCTTCTGTAACAATACCAAACCCTCTCTCATCTTGAATTAAATTTGATACGAAGACTTTTCCTTGTGGACGTAAGGTTTAAAAATTGCGGAATATCGCTTGGCTGAAGTTGGGGGATATTTGGTCACGTGCTCCGTTCAGACCAATCGCGCGCCAGCAAAAAATATTTGATGGATCATTATAACAAATATTTTCGAAAATTGAAGAGTTAATTTGTGAACATATTGCTGCGGTTTTTAATAAGTTATCAGGGTCTATAGCCTTCTAAATCTAAAAAAAAGTTAGTTTGTTTCACCAATGGTTGATACAAAAAGCTGCAGTTTTGCAAAGAGTTTTGCCGCGTGCCTTGGTAAGTGGTGCGTAATACGGGAAGTCAAACAAAAAAGTTACAATTTGAATCAAAACAAAATTTTGAAGCAAGTAGTCATTCCAAACTAGTGTTTATCTCTGGGAAATAAAAGGTTCCTCTTTTGCGCCTACAAAGGTGCCATTTAGACTACAGAAAATGTCTAACAGACAAGGAGATTTAAGCTCATTTGCCATGGGTACTTTTTGCCTCTCCTCGCCTTCTCATAGTTTTTTTTTCCTTCAATATGAATTGTTTCAATGCCATTACAGTAGCCATCAATAAAAATCAAAGAGATGGATATTAAAGTTCGGTGCTGTTTAACTCTTTATTGTCTAAAACTTTTCAATTTTTTCCCTCTGCTTATGCAAATTGTGTCATTATCACAACATTACAAATCAGAAGCATTGTCACTGTTTAACTGTCCTTTTCGATCAATTTTGTTAACAGGTATAAACACCTTTGGCATGTTAAGAGCATATTCATTTTCTAATGTACGAACATGATAATGCGCCGAAAAGCTGGCAACATCTCCATTAGATTAAAGTAATTGATTGCAAAGTGATGGAGACAAGGAAGTTTTACTGAAATATAGTTTCTCGTTACCATACTATGAAGTATTAAGATTCTGCGGAAAAATCCTAATTTCAAAACGCCACAGAATTTTTCATTACAGTCAAAAACCTCGATGTGCGATGGGCTACTTCCTATCGTCCAAATTCGAACTTTCTCGGAATATCCACATTAAAATCACCTACCTCGAACTGCTGCGAAGCTCGGAAGGCAGCAATCAGTCACGATTTGAACGAATTAGCAAAGGAAATTTGCTGCGTTTTTGTATTTCTTTTTTTACATGCAGAAATAAAAAAAGGTGCGTTGCTGCTAACAAAGGCCACGCCTAAGCTTGATGGCAGTACAGAGACAGAAAGGAGCGCCTGTGTGTACAAAGTGCTCGAGGCTAATCTCGCTTGTACAAGGTGGCCGTGGCAAGTGCACTTTTATCCTTGATACGCGTTGCAAACGTTTCGTGCAGGAGTTAATGGACGTAATAAAGAGATTTGGCGTTAGAGAGATAGGAGCCGCTTGGTTAAGTGCTTAAAATCACTCAAAAAAAAAAAAAAAAAACTGGGGACCCTTGAAGCTTTCTGTAAGCTAAATAAATGGAGATCAGTAACCCTCTTGCAAAAGAATCACTTCGAAAGGATCTAGAATATATCTCAATCGCACGCTGTCACATTATTGTTTTGAAAAAGATGTTTTGGAGTAGAAATTTCGCTAGAATTTTTAGTTTTAATCTATCTGCGAACATCTGTGCGGGGAAAATAGCTAATGGAGACATTTGATCCGACCAATATCAATCAAGGACTTCAACTGAAAGAAAGCAAAACTATATCTTTTGACGTAGAGAGGAAATAAAATCTACAACGAATACATGATGTATTTATTTTGGATAAATCGAACTATTTGTCGAATAAAAGTTATAAGGTTTTAGTATTACAACGAGATGAAATAACTACTGTAGAAAATATAGCTAAAGGTGACCTTTCAGATCATTTTCTACTAATTCAACTTGCATGATTAGGAGGTAAAAATATTATCGTAGATTCGAAACTGAAATGGTTTTCAACAGGAACAAATCTAACCTTATGAACTTTACTTAAATTTGCTTTCGTGAAGGTATTACTTCTGAGGTTATTTCACAAACAATGAAACTGAAAGGGGGATTAAAACAACTCTTTTTCCAAACCAACCCTCATATTCAAATGGCTCATGATGTACTTGCGTTGAATAACACTGCGATCGTTTTAAAAATAATCTCCTGCTTTAAATCATTCCTATGACGAACAAATTTCCTTGTTTAAGTTTTATCGCTATTTCCTTTTCTTTTTCACGGTGTCAAAGAATTAGTGTTAATTCAATTTATCACACGAAGGGCACAAACAGCAAAACAATAAGAAGAAACGGCTCGTTCTGTAATACGATTATTTACCAAATTCACGGAAAAACTCCTTTTACTTTAAAGAGGTAACGAATTTTTGTTGAAGTGTTTCAGTAGGACTGAAAAGGAACACAGAATGCAGAGCGAACAAAACGGAACAACATTTGTTTCAGTTGCGTCATGTTGTTCCGCTTTAACCCGTTCAACCTTATCAAGCAGCTTTATTTAGCGGCATTTCAGATCATGGCGAAAAAAGTAACTTCTAGATTGGAGGTATTGGATATTACTTTCTCCTTTAAACAATTCACATATTGCTCACCGCTTGGTTATGGTCCATGTTACTTTTCTTAAATATCAGATAAAAAAGGCTCTTCACTATCATAAATTCTTTCTTACAATGACCTTTCCAATTTTTCCCGGTTGTACGCTGTTGGTTGTTGTCGTTTTCGACTCAGTTAGGAATGGGTTGCGTGGGATGTAACTTAGATAACCTCAGATTTTTGAGCTGGCCTTCTATTTTGACCAACGTTGTTGGATGAAAAAGCAATTTTCTGGCAGAGTTTGACAGCATTGTTGTTTTCTAAATCACAAAGCAAACAAAGCCGGACTCCGCGCACGACGCAAGCGTTGCTCAGTCGCAATAATAGAAACAGGAAGAGTGTGAACTGATCTAAATATACCTTTTCAGTCATCCGAAAAATATATCAACAAAAAGAAAAACAACCGGTAATTTCTCTACCGGCGAGTAACCTCTTCGAATGCAACACTTTCCCTGTTAAGCTCGAAATTTAGCGGGGTGTTCTAAAAAAATTGTCCGCTTGGTTTTTTTCTGGTAACATTTGATGTTTGCATTCCATATAGAGAGCGAGATATAGTAAATTTTTGAAACGTAAACGAAAGTCGACGGCAAAACATCTTGATGACAAAAATATTTTTTGGAGACAGCTGCAGAAGAAAAGTAAGGTGTTACAAACATTTGGTTCTGCGATAAAAACCAAAACTGTTTTACCCGACCATACAAGGAAAACAGAATACTCTTATTATGTCAGTCACCAAAATAAGGCGTTGTGCTATATCTTAAAAATTCAATATAGTTTAGTCGGCTGAGGACATCCGTAACACGTCTACTGCTGTTCTCCTTTTTTTCAGTTAATTTTCAGGTTTTACAGTTCAGTCTAAATCAACGCTGTTTATTGGGAGAAGAAATAGCTCATATAATTAACCGGCTCGATGTTGACATTTTCATCCATTTGAAGCCGGAAACTGATGCTAATGATACCTCGAACTATTTTTGTCAACACCGATTTCCTAAGGTGACCATACGCAGTTGTTTTACAAAAATCGAATTAGATTTTGGGTCGTAGTTTTGCGTTTTCGAGTTAAGAATAATACTAAAGAATAGTCTGCATTTCAAAGCTACTTACCGCACCGAAAAAAGCAATTGGTCCTTAATGTCTGCTGGTTACAACTAGGTACCACAACGGGACAAAATTGCAATTTTTGATGCAGAAAGGACACCGCAAAACATTTTTAGAGAGAATACATCACTCAAATTTTGCGCTTTCTAACGTTTTGAGATCGTGAGAGCGTGGAAAAGTACAATAAAGATCGCAATTAATTTCTAGTCAATGCAATCACATGAGGTACAAAACACCGTCATTATCGTCACATGATTTTAGCTTTAAACGTTCCGTATATTTTGTCTTTGTTCATGACATGATAGGCAACCGGTCACTGCCGCCAATAAACTCGCTAACGGCTCTGACTGCAAACTCAAGTGAAATGAGACGCATTCGGAGCATATGACCGCTATTTGACTGAAAATTTCAATAAATTTCGCTCATCGATCGGGTCGGCTGCGACTCAAGCTAGCGACGAAAACACAAACAGCGCGAGTTTTGACCGCGTGCAACCCGACCTGACTTTGATTAATACAAATACAGCAAAATTAACAAGGGAGATTCGATAGTGTTACCTTTATCATCCAGAATGCGTTTTCTCTTTTGATTTTTTTCGAGCGAATTGACGTTGCCTTGTAGATCTGTCTCGTCCATGGCGCTAAGCCGAAGTAGAGTGCAGCGTTTTCCGCGACTTGTCGCAACCAACTGAAAGCCACTGTAAAATGACTCGTTTGTTCGTCTGCTGTTATGACATCATCGACCGCTGAATGACCGCTGTAACTCCGCCTTTTACGACTCTCCCGCTAAGGCGATGACATGACGGCATTTGATAGACAGCACACGTTTCTATAATGGCTCAGAATTGTGGCAGCGATTTTTTCGTTGAGACCAGCTCTAATAACAACTCTTTCCTTTAGCGCTGCTATCTGTTTCGAAATCGCTACGCGACTGACGCGTGACATTCCGGTGACATTTTAATCTATTTCATAGTCTTAATCGTGTCATGTGGATGTCACATATCTATCATACCTCCAATTGAATTAGACAGCTGCGAACTTTATTTGCAATTGAATACATAATTTTCAGTTTTTGTCTTTTGTTTATTTTCACTTTAAGAAAAACCCAATCTGAATTCCTTCAATGTAAGTTATCATTTGCTTAGTCGATAAAACATCAGATCACTTATTTTTTTTCTAGCAGAATTTCTCCTGAGCGAGAATATACGGACACGATTAAAAATTTACGGAATTCACAACTCAGTGTCTAGACATTCATCTATCTTTAAAACACTGGATGTTCCAATTATCTGCTAAAGTGGCCGCATCTAATTGAATGCAAAACGTGGCCATTGTGTTTCCAAAGGAAACTAAAAAAATAAAAACCTGTTTTACAATGAAGTGCCAAAAATGTCTGTGGGGTAAAATCGAAAAAAAAGCTTGGCCGACATCTAAGAGGGCTAAGAAAAGGAGAACTTTTAACCCACAATTCCACCCTTGAGCGCACCACGACTACCGTAATGTTAGGAAAGTAACAAAACCATTGGAATATTCGAAAGTAGACGCCACTCGAAATTAACAGTTAACCGTCACGTGTCCTGAGAACGGAAGCGAAAGGCATATCTCAAGCTACAAACAATAATTACCTCTGTAGTTGCTGGCTGGGTTCTAACTTTTAAAATATTCTCAAGACTTGACGGTGTTACAGGCATTGAACGATGTGAAAAAATATTGGTAGGAATTTTTTAATTTTTATTGAGGGGTCCACGGTTTCGTACGCTGTTCGAATGAGCACCGAATTAGCACCGAGCGTCCGTTAGTCAGCGAAGCAGCAGGCTGGGTCGCGAGAAGAATAGTTGAGAATAGAGGTGAAAGGAGACACTTTCATTTACAGCCGGTTAACGCCGAACGTCTTTTACTCCGCCGCGAAGAGCAGCACGCGTGGTTCACGAAAAGCGTGAGAGGGGATGAAGATGAAAGAAACGCTCATGTGCAGCCAGTCGTCCTAGCAATGGTTGCTTAACGCATTGGGAAATTTTCAATTGAACTCATTGGAAATTTTTCAATTTCATTATTCTAAGTGACTAATCTTAAAGACTTCCCATATGTCCTTACTCAAAAAAATGAATTGCGACCATATTACCAGTATCAGTTTTCCCGCGCTTGAGGTCAATTGAAGCACCGATTGGCTGATCTGATTTTTATTTTTGACACCCGGTTGAGAAACTAAAAATAACAAATTGCAGCGTTTTACTAATTTTTACAAGTGGTGCAAGGGAAATAAAAAGCGTCCCATCTGTTCACAATTACTTGACGGCCGAACTCCCTTAAATTATTCAGCACCTACATGAACAAAACTGTGGTTAGACCGGTGATAATGTAGCAGGCGTTCTTTCGTCTGCATCTGGCAGATTTAGAGCGGGATGATGTTATCAAATACGATACGATAGCTAAGTGCCTCTCTATGATTTTCTATGGTCAGAGTATATATGTATATTTGTCTATTATGTGACCACTCTCATACACATAACAATAAATATACATTTTTTCATTCAGCGATGCAACTGATTGAAAATGGATTTGAATAGGTTGCAACCTTATTTTCTTCTGTTTTTAGTGTGCGCCAAATATCTATGCTAGACCATTAGCGTCCTACCGGAATTATAATCGGGAAGAATTAGACTAGGTTTCAGGACTAACAATGATATATATCGGTTGTATGCTGATGGTGAGTTTGATTGTAAAGCAGTTTAAGCTGACTGTGCAGTGTTTTGGGCATAACACGTACACTATCTTGTCCATCAAAATATGAACAAGTAATTTGTCAAAAAACAATTAATGCCTAAGAGCGTCCATCGATTTAAAATCGAGTGCTCTTCCATCTTAGATCGTTGACTGCGTTGTATGGGGTAATTTTACATTACCAGGAATAGCCTAGATGATAACAGCGAATTTTTATGGGCATTCTCCGGCAATTGCATAGCGTATTCTTGCTGCACGTAACTGTACGCGTCACGCAGGTTGGCCTGAGCGTGATTAGCGCGCACATCAGCAAAGCAACTTCGCAAAAATCACGGCGGTAAGTTTCTAAAGACACTGTGGTGCTGCGTCGGTGGGGGAGTATCAACAATTTTTCGAAAACGTGGCTATCCTGTTTCTGTCGTTCAAGCGAGTCACCACCGCGTCCAACAAATTAGTTGACAGTCAGCACTACAAACGGCACAGAAGGAATATACAGACCGCATTCCATTCACTCTCGCATTTCACCCCACAACCAAACAGTTGAATCCATCACTCTTAAAAACTTTAAATTACTTCAAAATGATTCAGAGACTGGTACTATCTTTTGGCAACCTCCACTCATTTCATTCAAACGTGACAAATTTTGGTCAGAAGTTCACCACAAACTAATGACCAACAATTAATTACAAAATAGTCACCGACCAAATTCGTTCGCGCACAACATTAAACTGGAGTTCAGCCCAATAATTACGAAGTCACCACGTCTCCCACATCAGAAGTTACAACATTGATCTTTTATCGAGGAGAAAGGTGATGGGAGGAAAGAAAGATAGCAAGAAGTGATAAACGTAAATTGGAAATTGGCTGAAATAGCAAGGAATATATGGTAGACAGTGTAGAGAATTGATATTCAGATCTCAAGTGCGAAAGGGTTAAGTTTGCCAAAACTGAACTAAGAGCAGGTAAGCTTGTGGGGTGGGGTAAATATAACCCTAGTGATTGTACCCTGCTCCTGTGTTATCACCTTAGACTGCCACTGAGAAGAGAGTACTGAGGACCTAGTCAGTTGGAATATACCAGCCTCAGCCACTTCAGTTACGTTCTTCTGGTGTCTTGCAAAAAAAAAAGGAAAATCAAATTCCACAAGAAAGTGCAAAATTCTGAAATATTCAGTACATCACAATACCGTCACTATGAAATCCCACTCAGGAAAAAATAAAATTGTCTCCATAATAGTTGTTAAAATCGTTAAAACGTTGATCGAGCTTCTTGGATAAGATGAGTTTTCCATAAAAGAGCCTCATTCGGTTCGCAATTATCAATTACATCATTGTAGGGGACTGAAGTAAGTTTAAATTTGTAAATCTTGTTCTACATGTAACTGTTCAGTCTATTCGACCTGAACATGTGATAGAGCTTCTACGCACATGGGCAGCCCAACTTTGCTAGCTCTTAAGGTTATTCCAGGAAGCCTATCCAGTACCCCAATAAAATTTTCTCTAAATTGCTGACACTGGTTTAAGACTTTGAGAGTAAACAAGGTACGTGGTTGTTTTTGGTCAATAACCGGCCTAAGGTGAATGCGGTAGAAATGTGCTGCGGAAAATTCTCCTTCCAGAAAGTAAAATCATGGACACTTACGTCAACAAGCAAAATCCTACATTTATTAACATTCCAAGGTAAATTTAGCATCAAAAAAATTAATAACGTAATCACGTGAGCGGCCAACTTTAACTATAAACTGTTCAGTTTCTGCTTCACAAGCTTGTTCGCTTGCGGATGTTTAACAATGACTCTGGATTAAAAATTTCCACAACCAATACACAACCGCTGTGGCTCCCAAATATGTCCTTAACTTCCTTTTTCATTCTACGATTGATTCCTTTAGTGGCTAATTAACCCTTTACACCCTCACACCAATGTCAATATTCTCTATCCTCCTCTCTGTGCATTTCCTTTGGAACTAACAAGGAGAATTCGTTTAACAATCAAAGCTTCTTAGGTTAGCGATCACTTCCCTTTGTTCCCAAGACATGAAAGGTTCAGCAGTATTACTGTGAGGATAAATTGGATGATGGAGACTCTTAGGGTTTAAGGGCTAAAAACTTTAAAAACTTTAACTTAAACTATGAATTTTGAAAGCTTCAGTTTTCTTTGGTGAATGATCCTTAAAATGTATCATGAAAGCATTTCAAGGAATGAATTTGTCGGGTCTTGGTGTCAGTGTCCGTAGTTTAGAGACAGACATTAATCACGAGTTTCCCACATTTCTCTTCATAAGGTTCTACAACAGCATTCCACATCATCTTTGATTGCTATGAAGCCCTCTGCTAGGAAAACCATGCATGAATTTGGTTATAACTACATCACGCTCGAGAAACACGCATGTCAGCTGTCATCACTGAGTCTGGAGAAAGAAAAAGGAGTTGATTTAAACAGGGAAAATGGTATGAAGAGATTCTTTGCCGAATTTCCACGAAGAATAATGAAGATTAAGCACACGAATAACAAGATAAAGTCGGAGATTTCTTTTTGACAGATTTCTACGTCATTATCGTACCAACCCTTTACACTCAAAGATCAGTATGCATATTCTCAATGCTGTTCTCTATATGGTACTGACAAGGAGAATTTGTTTCACAATTAAGAGCTTCTCTATATAATGAGTGATCATTTCCCTTATTCTCATAACCTTTATGTTTGATTCAACAGTGATACCGTAAAAAGAATAGGATGCCAATCACACTTAGGGGTCAAAGGGTTAAATTGCCGCATCCGAAAGCACGAATAATATGGAGAGTCACACCTGGAAATGGGGCGCGTATTCTGGGAACAAAATGGACTCGGGGCGGGAACTTTCGAGAAAAGTCAACCTACAGCAACAGTATATTTTTTCCCAAGGAAAGAAAATTTTTAATGAAACTTTTAACACGTCAGTTCCACTGTAAACATTTCTTGTTGATATTTTCTAAAAGCCTGATGAATTTTAAATAAAGACCGCCCTTCAATAGGTATCCACGATAAAATTACCGAACACTACCTGGGTTTCTTCCGCCTGTCGAACTCAAAATAACTCAACAGATACGACGATCCAGCAGAGTCCGGCGAATCTTTGAGTTTCGTTTTCTTTTTTGAAATTCCTATTGAGCGGCATCTGCCGAGTCCAGTACTTCTAAGACCTAAAAGAAGGAATATGAAAAAGAACCGCTATTCTTCAATACACTGAGCCCTTTACAGCTGGTGATCTTTAGAAAAAAGAAAGAAAAAAGACAGTGACTAGAGAGCCAACTTTCCTTTTCGACATTCAAAACAAAGCAACTTAATTGAAATATAGTTTGCTTTGGACGTCGCAGTATATGATTTGCTTATCGGTAAAGTGTCTCTGTATCATATAATCGTTCGCTGTAAAGAGCCTATTAGGTAGGCTAATGGAATCAAACAAAGAAATACATGTAAAATGCTTTTTAAAAATGTTTGTATGCTGTCGGGGACATCACATCGTGAGATCACCATCAAGAAAACTCCCAAAGGTAAAAAATATGCCACCAAAGTGGCCAATGGTCAATAGAACATATCCCGGCTTATGCAGCATCAGACGTAACACAACGATGTCCCCCACAAGGGATGTTGGATTCACAGTAAGTAAACCCCTGGCACTTTGTCGTGTCTCCCTGACAGTTTTCTGATCAATCTATATTCCCGTGTCTTGAGAGACTGTGATGGTAAATTGTGTTGCCAAAGAGACCAGGATAGACACCCAGCCTGGAATCGAATGCGGGCCTCAGTTTCGGAGTTCAACGAGTAATCAATAATTATTTGTCGTATCCACAAAGTCCAAAAATTATCTACGAGTGTCTAAAAAGCGTTACACCATTTTTCTAACGAGCGGGTGATATAACGCGATATACAACGATTTTCAGTCAAGTAAGACGCTACGGTAACTTGGCGACCTCATTTTGACGTTAAAATCGTGTTTTTGACACGAAAACGTGGCCCCGTTTCCGGTGGAAACGTGTCGTTTGACCTCTTTTGGCGGGCTTCCGCGTTTGACGGATGGTGACGCACGGCTCCTGTAGTTTACCATCAGAAAAGAGGAAGGTTGCCCATGACAACAACGTTATACTATGGTCAAAACACAGTCACCAGCTTTTTCCACGCCTCACCCAACTGATAATCGAAGTACATTGAACTGGAACTAAAATGGTATTACCTGCTTTAGAATTCAGCCGAATCTGCTTCTTCGTTGTCTGTTGCAAAAATAAAGAGAGAAAAATATATTTTACATTGGAACAATTTCGCCATTTAGAGCAATTTCTGTTTTGGAAAAAAAGATCCGTGATTGTACTGATCTTTCTTCGTCGCGCTGTGATTGGTCAAAAAATTCCGTGCCTCCTGCTTAGCCAAGCACAAAAAAATTTGATCTTACTCTACTCACTCTGTGCCTGGTAAAAAAAAATCGCGCCTCCCTCTCAGCCAATCATAAGAAAAATTGAACTAAAAAACTCAATCGCGCCATTAATAAAAAAAAACAAAACAAAACAAAACAAGCAAGGGGGTTGATCGAACATCGGATTCTCATTACTATGGGTAAAAAAAACCAGGTCGTCGCAAATGATCAAAATAGTAAACTTCTGAAACATGTCTGCTAGTGTGACATTGACAGGATTGGTGCAGTACACTCTCTAATCTTACCTTGGATCCAACAGCACTGCCTTGTAAAAGCGAAAAATTTCTGCTCGTGGAGGGTGTAGTTTGGCCCCTGATAACTGACTGAGTAGAGGTGGGTGTGTCACCATCTGTACTCATCTCCGTATCTGACATGTACCCACTGTCGATACGTATCACCTCAACTGATCGTGAAAAGCTACTGTCATTAGACACAGTTTCCTCCCTCGATAAGGGTTCTGATGTGTTATCAATAAGTTTTGTTGGCCTTTGAAATCGTTTGTAGCTAAAACGTTCACTTAATTTTGTTTCTACGGATTCATCTTTGTGGTCGTAGCTTATATTTAATGACTGGTTCGTTAACACGCCCTGGCATAACAGCTTTTTAGGAGAACAGGTTTGCGAATAGTCGCTGTTGTGAAGAGTAGTTTCCTCCTTGCTTTCAGTTTTGTAATATTCAATTTTGCGCAGTTTAGAAGAAGAATCGTCCTCCCTTTTTGAATAATTCTCCTTGTTCTGTTCCATTTTATTAATCACCACAGAATTTTCTCCTTCACACTGAAATAAGTGTTCATCCACGTTCTGTATCAAGGCAGTAAGACCACCTCCAGGCCGTGATTCACCTGTCAAGGATAACTCATCAGTGTTTTCGGAATCCAAATTTGTTCCACCAGCTGGACTGCCCTCTGTTGCGTTTGCTGAATACTTCAGTGATTCCAGCTGATTTCCAGTGATATTGAAGTACCTCAAGAAAAAGACGTATACGTCAGTAAATCTTAATTATTCAGAGAGAGTAAATAGGTATTGCAACAGTGACATAGACTACGAGCAGTCCCTCTTTTTTAAGCTAACAGTGACAGAGCAGTGAACATGATCATTTCACAGAGTTCATCAGTGTATATGCACACCTGCTAATTTTAACTTCATCTTGCGCCTCAACCCGCTGATCGCTGATTTTAAAAGGGTTTTTGAACTTGGACTTTTTCGTCCCGTTCCATGACAAAGCACCAGGTTTCGTGCGTTGGAAATTTCCCTGAGCACGAGGAATGACATTCTTGGGTTTCAAAACAGTGTACATATTGAGAAGTGAGTGGTCATCAACACTTTCTTCTTCAATCTTCCGTTTAAGTCCTGGCGGCACGAAAGGTTTCTTGGTTTTCGCCGATGACGTTGAATTGAGCATCAACCCAGAGAGGTTTTTTTGCACATCGTATTCAGTCTTCCCTCTCTTACTTATGACGGCATGGCCAAAGGAGGACATAGAGACTGGGGTGAGAGCACGTGATTGAGAGTCTTCGTCCAATTTGTTACCAGATCCCAGGTCAATAATCTAGGGGAAAAACAACTGAGGATGTTAACAGAAATAGCACTTACAATAGTACAAGCTTGTAGCCTAATGATAGCAAACCACACCGGTCAATGGCGGTTTTGGCATACGCTTATTGGCTAGCGGTGGGTTGTCCGAGGATTATACAGTTTTAAGCTACAAGACAGCTTCTTGCTATGCTAATGTTACCTTTTAGGAACTAAGCTGTTGTTACAAAAATTGGCTAATACGTTTATTTTTACGGAATTATAGGTACGTTATTCAGTCTTAAAAGAAAAACGAAAAAGTTCTAAGAAAGTTAAAGGTGAAACAACTAACGTTTCGCAGCGTTGTTTCAAGACGAAAATAAACACCAGTTGAAAAAGTATCCACCAGGGAAGTTAAGTAGAAGCATTCAGATGGTCTACTTTTCCGAGTAGCTATTTACCTCAGTGTTTGCGACTAACTGGTTATTACAAGAATGCCTTTTCTTTTCAGTGGCATTGCCCTTAACATCACTCAAGTAATTAAACAGAAACTTTTGGCATTAAAAATATTGCATACATCGAGTTGTTACAAGTAATCACATATGCTTGACGCAAAAATTCTTAAAGTTCTTTAAAATTTGTTTTCGTCCTCACATCCATCATGATCATCAAAACAGTATCTTAACCTTTGTAACTTTGTATCAAATATCTGCATGACTGCTGAACCTTTTCATAGTAGGTCAAAAGTATAAGACATTAAGTAAATTATCCCGAAAACGTGTTCTGTAGCGTACCTTGATCTTTTTGGGGTCAAAATCTGCTATCATTTCACCTGTGATGGGGTTAATATTACCAAGTGCAATACCCAAGGCTTTTTCTCTTGTCATTAGTCTGACAATTGGTCAAGAGAACACAAGGGAAATGATGAAGTCTACAGGAAAAGTAGTGCATATTCTCAATACTGTTGTTCTTCATATATTTCCTCAGGTGCTGACAAGTAGATCATTTAATTTATTTTCATGCTCCATAGATGGAGTCTGTTTTGCCAAGTTGGTAGAGTTGTGGCCTTGTTCTTTTTACAGAAAAAAAGTTGATTGATCTCAACTTAGTCTTGGGCAAAAAAAGGACAAGAAAAATAAATAGAAAAGAAAAGAGAAGAAAAATACAACTGGAAAAATGGCCAATTTCATATTAACTTGACCTTAAACTTGGTCAGTATTGCATTTGTTACAGCAGTTTGTCAAGGATACGGACCAGCAAAGCCCAGGTCACCAGGTTTCAATCCGTCTGGCAGGTCACTCAAAGGAACCAGATTCATAGAAACAGGATCAAAAACAAGCTGGTACAAAAATGTCTCCTCTGCCTGCTTGAAGTTCTTCTCATAATCATCAGGGACATGCATCTTTGTTTCAGTTCTGAGAGATCTGATCAGCTAACAGAAAGTTATTCATTTATTTTTATGGAAGAAATCAGCTTCAGAGGAAATAACCATATCCATTCTATTAAGAGCTTTACCTGGAATAGGCACCCATCCTGCAGGTAGAAAAAGTTAATAAACACCCTGCCTCAAATAAGTGCCCACCCCCCCCTCCCCATAAAAAAAAATTTGTAGTTCACAAAAGGAGTACTGACTATCATTTTTTTACTGGCTCTAAATTCACTGTCTATGGTATATCTTCACCTTTTGATATGTCATTTATCATTTTGTTGCAACACAATGCTGAAAATGGTGAAAATTTATTAAGTGTCTAGCCTTGAATAAGCACCACACTATAAATAAGCACTTGCTTCAAGGTCCATTAATTTAAAATCATAAGAGTACAGGGTGCTTAATCAATTAAATATGGTTCATCAAGGAGATATTTAGAAACTGATTAACTTAGTGATAAAAACTAACCTTTTCAACATTGGATGATTTGCGCAGCAGTTTAATTGCTGTCTGTAGACCAATGCCCTTGACAGACGGCAGATAATCACAACCTGACAGAATGCACATGTGTCTGAACTTCTCTTGGGTGAATTCATGTAGTTTGAGCTTTGTTAGTTTGGAAAGATCAGCCAGATCCACTGCTAAGCCATGACCATTAACATCCATCTTGAAGATGACCTGAAATTCAGTGGGAATATGAAGTAAAGTGGTTCAAAAGAAGTTCCCATAAAAATTTAGTGTTCAAAACTATGTTTGCCATTTTTTTGTTTGTTTTTGCTTCTGTTTTTGTTTTTCATCTCACACAGCAGGTTTACTAGGTTTGGTACCAGCCTGCACTTCTCAAAGATAGGACTGGCACGTAGACTTTGTAAATTTCAAAATGGCTGTCTTTTGGAAAGTATGAACAAAAAAGGGGTTCATCTACCCTAAAGAAGAACTACCTTAAGAAGTTCATGATCAATAATTTGGGATCAGAGACTGGACCTAAGAAAATGGCAGAAGTAGAGCTCACAGGCTTAGTAGTAAGCCTTGAACTGTTGGCCCTTGCATTGACACATATCAAACTTAAGCCATGGCAGTAACCGTCATTACTCATTTAAACTAGCACCCTTACCTTCTGGCATCCATAGACAAGTAAATCAGAATCTTCAGATATAATAGCCTGAGCTAGACCTGATTTCATCAGATATGCTAATTGAGCATCTGCCTCATAAGGTGCCACAATACAGTACACGCCCTTCTTACGACATTCCTGTATAGTAAGTTTCATTTGCCGCATTAGAAAGTGCATTTGGGTGAACTATGAGGTCAGGGCAGGAAACTTGGGCAGTCCAGATGGAACAGCTAATTTTTCCATTCTGACAAGGACAATATTATGATCTCACCTGTAAAATCAGACTACCAGAAAATGGGGGATAAAATTATTTTTATCCTGACTTTGGATACGTTATAAAGCACTTTTTAATATATTTCACATCTTTGCTGCACAAAAAATCAGAACCTCATCACAGATGTATAGAAAAAATATATACAGATAGATATTATTTGCTTGTTATTGAAGGTTCCCACACTTGTCACACACACTGATTCTCCACCCATGAGCTATAAAGAACTTGTCGATAATTTTTCAACTTGAAAATCCAACATTTGGAAGTAACAGTATTATTTGAAGATGGAAAATTCACAAAACAGGAAATTATCATAGTAGTCTCTAGCATTTCACATCAAATACAAACCTTTATGACTTCAAGGGCCATATCTGGAGTAATATCCACGCACTTCTGAAAGCAGTCTAGAGCCTGCTGCCTGTTTCCAGCCCGTAGAAAAGCCAGTCCTTTCGCCTTGTTTTCTTGTCTTGTCCTACATTTGACAAGAATTGGAAATACATTCAATAGCTCTCTTAACAGTCCCTATTTCAAGCAGATTAGTTCATATTTACAACTGCCCCCTTTGAATCCTGTCTGAACTCCCAAGCAAACTTTTCCGTCTTAAAATTCCTTTAAATAGACACTTACTTCCTTCGTCGTTCCTCCTGTCCAGCTTTGGAGGGAAGGTATGATCCATCAAAAACCAGAATTGGTTTGACATTGAAATGTAGCAGCATGTCAACACGCTTCAAAACGTAATTAACATACCTGAAACAAAATATATTTACCTGAGTAATATATGACTGAGCAAAAACTTAAATATTTTCATGCATAACGCGATAACATCGAGCTTCCAGGCATTCTCCGCTCATCATTTAAAAGTGCATACATACACGGAGCTTTTCTTTCCTTCAACCAATTCCATAGCGCAGCCATAAGCTCCCTTGTGCAGCCAGCAGTAGGCATCTATCCCAATGACTTGACCTGCGAAATGCTCAGCGATGGAGACGGGCTTTTGGATAGGCTTTAGTAATGGAAGAAGGCCTTGGATTCCCATTTCTGCAGGTCGTTGGCACCAACAATGATCTGCCCTCCTTTGGGATGTGTTAAGACTCTTACAATCCCGTCCAGTATTCACATTCTTACCCCAATGGCGGCATACCCAGAGCAAACTCAAATTCTGGCCTGTGGAAAATTAACTAAACCGTTCAGAATCTTCAGAACAGAACACTTCAGAGCTCACCTTTCGATAAGCATAAGGCGAGAAAACTACGTCTAAACAGGACCAAATTTGTAATGGAAGTCGCCATTACACAACGAACAAGACAAGATCAAACCCCTCTCTGTAATCAAAGAAATAACAGTAACAAGCAAACTACTAACCTTCCTAACATATTTTGGCAGTTCCGATGAAGTTTTCGTTTGTTTTAGTGCTACATCTGGTAAGGAAAAGACGAAACTTCTCTACGGAAGACCGAACTCTTTTACAAAATTTGGCGCCACGCGACAGATCCAGACTTCTCGCTGTCAAACTTTTTATGGGAACTGGTGACGATAAACTCTATCAATCAACGCAGAAGCAAAATGGCGGCCACATCAGTTCCTCTTTTTTCGCCCTCTTCACAACCTGATTTGGAAAATATGGAGGCTGATAACCAAATAAATGAGTTTTCATTCGGTCCTCCTATGAGTCAAGATGCCTCCATGTACTCAGGATCGATTGAGCAACAGGAAGAATTCATGGAAAGTGGTAGAAAAGTTGACGAATCGAATGGAGGCCCTCGGTACAGATTCCCTTTCTATTCGCAAATTTTCAATAAGAAAAACTACGATTGGTTATTGGAAGTGGATCAATCGGGTGATGATGATGATTTCAACAAGCCCTTGCTGTAAGTGAATTTGTCGTATATCAATAATGCGTGGCTTTGTCGCTTCGTTTGTGTTTGTTATGTAGAATCGAATTTGAACAGAACCCAAATTTGATTTTAATTAAAAGCAAGGCGTATATTTGACTTCGTGGATTTTCAGTTCGTTCCTTACACAATTTTATTTATGCGTGTAAAATTTACTATTATAGAAACTCATGCGCATAATTTATAGTTGAATATTGCTCGTATTTTATTCTTACGGAGGTTATATATGAAAAAGAAATTTCATCACAGATTTTGGGGTGGCTGAAGAGTAACTCTTCCACAAATTGAAAGATGTTTGATTTTTTCTTTTGATCTTCCTGGTGTACTATGAGAGTGAACAGAGAGTTAGCCTTGTGTACAAGTGAAGATGGTATTTCATGGTGACTAGAATCTATGGATTGTTTGTTTGGGAATAAGAGGGCAAAATTTCACAGGAGAAGTATGGGAGTTATTGTAACCCCTCCTTGTAAGAACTGATTTTTCATTTTTTCTTTGCGTGTGAGCAGGCAGAAGTTAGGTTGGAATTTTATGATTGACAGATTTCTATCTTTTACATTAATCTTTTTCTGATTACAGTCAGTATCAACTGATATGAAATGATATTAGAAATGTAAACCTTCTTGAATTTCATTATTTTTCTTTGTCTCATAAAGAGATTCAAGACTTATTTCAAAACAAGATCATTAAAATCATTATTTTTCACTACTTTTGTAGTGAAGAACTGGACATTGATCTGCAAGATATCTACTACAAAGTTCGCTGCGTGGTGTTTCCTCTTCCATCCTTGGGGTTTAAAAGGGATGTATTGAGGGACAGTCCTGATTTCTGGGGTCCTCTTTTGGTGGTTCTTTTGTATGCAATGCTGGCATTATTTGGACAGTTTAAGGTCAGTTCTCAAGTCACATGATGGTGTCTGCAGTTTGTTCAATCCCTTAGTTAATTATGATATTTGAAACAGGAAAATCAAATGCATTTGAAGTTCTCATGAATCTACTCCCTTATCACTAAGAGTGATAAGCATCTTTTTTTCCAATAGTATCACCCTTGAATTAAACATAAAAGTCAGAAGAATTAAGGAAATGATCACCAACTGAAGAAGCTCTTGATTGTTGCACAAATTCTCCTTGTTAGCTCATTAGGAAATATATAGAGAACAGTAAGGAGAATATGTATAATAATGTTAGAGTGTAAAGGGCTAAAGGAAAATCTCTCCATGGTATGAGCTGTTTGCTAATTCAATGCAGTGTAGTTTGTAAAGGTGTCAGATAAAGAGAAACTTGGTCTTGTTAAAACTAGTTACTACAGTACTGAGTCAGGTTACCTCTCTTCCTTGGAATGCTTCATTAATCTTACAATTGGGTGTTGTTTGTGCCAGGTTGTCTCTTGGATTATAACAATATGGCTGCTGGGCTCTCTCATTATCTTCTTGTTAGCCAGAGTACTTGGCGGAGAGGTAAGAAGTGAAACACGCACAAATCTGTAATTACTGCAAAAGACCACAGTTGATTGATCATGTAGTAGTGCCCTTTGCCTGCCAGTGAGAGCAAATTTTTTGACTTTCAATGCCACACACTTTATTAATGGTTACTGTGTGTGGAAACCTCTCATTAATAAACACATACAAGGCAAAGTCTATTCCCAATCCAAATGCCATAATTAACTAGAGCTCACTCCAGTTTCTCCAGCTTTAAAGGATGGTACTCAAGCAGAACTTGGATGTCATATGCAACTCACACACTTTCACACTCTCATACACATGCAGGGATTAGGATGTAAAATTAGAGGTGTCTATTGTGGATGAGGAGGATCTTATTTTAAGCATATTCTGTGGAAACAAAATTGTGCAAGAAATGAAAGCAAGCAAATTTCATTTCTTTGAAGGTGAACTACTCTCAGTGTCTTGGTGTGATTGGTTACTCACTTATCCCTCTGGTGTTGACTGCAACAGCCCTGCCATTGGTTCATTACTTTCCCAACATTAGCACTGCTATCAAGGTATTTATACTTCTAGTCCAGTTAAAATTTGTATGTAGGATGTTACCATTAAACAGAAGGAAAATTTTCTCTTCCATATGGAATATTTGTGAAAGTGGATTGGAATCAATCACCAAGATCTGCAAGAAATTCGAAAAAGTACTTGCTGATTTTTTCAGGCCTAGTATTGAAACATGTCTGCAAATTTAATTATCAAACAGTTCTTTTGCCAGCAGATCTCCTATGGTGATTTTCCAGATAATGTAAAGGTGAAACATATTTCAAAATACTGCAAATAGTGCATTGGAAGACAATATTTTAAAAAGGCTATGCTACTTCTTAGAATCTGAAAAAAGGCAAAGAGTGGTACATTTTTATAGGCCTTGATATATCTGCAGGAACTCCTCATCAACGTGTGTTGTATAAGGTGCCTTCTGGATCATGAAAAAATTTCATGTCTTTCCCTTTCAGTTGTTTGGGGTGGTCTGGGCATCATACAGTGCAGGATCTCTTCTCATCCAGGATGAACTAAAGAACAAAAGACTGTTACTTATGTATCCCATTCTGCTCCTATATATTTACTTTTTCTCTCTGTACACTGGTGCTTGAGGAAATTCACTGCTGCACTTACCTACAGGATAGAGGGTAGTGTTTGAACTTATGTCATACAGTTGGAATGTGCCAATTCACTTTTGGGGTTGGGGTTACAGGGCCGGGTTGTGTTGTTGTAGGTATCAAAATTTACTAAATTATGGTGAGAACTCATACAAAACAAACCTCCAACTTTTGCTAACAAGCTAAAAGATTAGATACACGTGAAGTACTTGGGGCATAAGCACCTGTTGTAGCTCCTAACCAAAGTGGCTTTGTGGACAAATTTGCTGAACTTTGCATGTGTTTGCATTGTCTGTTTTTCTAAGTTGTATGTATTCAAAACTCAGATTTGAGAGATCTCTGATTTAGCTTGGTTTAGTTTCCTACAGTTCTAAACAAGGGCTCAGTATATTTTGAAATTATATCTTGTAGAAAATAGGTGCTAAAAGAAAAGGGAAGGCTGAGTTAGTTAAGAAACAGCCAAATTACAACCAGATAAATGTATCAAAACTGTACATATATAAATGGGAATTAAAACCAATGATGCCAAGGTTGTTGTTGTTTTCACTCTTGTGGTTGTAGACAATTGAATACTAACTTGATGCAAAAATGTGTTTCGATTTTTTTCTGAACTCGGCTTTTTCAAATAAATGCCATAAGACAAACTTACAGCCTTCACCACTTTGAAAAGCCCTGTCTGTTTATTTCTATTTTGGGTTCGAGATAAACATGTCTTGTGAATCCTCGATGCCATTGTACGAATGGTTGGCGACCATTTTGACCACACTCTTCCAATTTTCCATCCTCAAAAATCTTTATTCTCAATTTTTCGGATAACTTTTTAGTCTTTTGTTTTTCATCCCAAGCAAAATAGTACTTTTGAGGTTTCTTTCCATTGTTCACACCTTACTTATGTTTCAGGGTGATTTTCGTGCCGCAAAAGCGACTTGAAACAGCGCAACAGACTTGACACAGGGTTTGATTGGTAGTTACAGGATAACTGTATCCGCCCGTAACAGATCGAGTGGCCGTTTGAGCTTTAAGTTGCCAAAAACACAGCAACAGTGATCTTTTTAAAGGTTGTGACCTTAATGGAACCACGTACAGAAAGCGCAAATAAATGACGACTTGATCATAAACTAAATATGACTTCCCGTTATTATTATGTAAACATCTAGTCAGATGGAAGTTTCAAGCATGAAGTCAGGTGCTACAGGTTGTTAAGAGTTCTAGAAACAACATATGTTACGTTGCATTTGCTGGCCGATGCGGTCACCTTGTGTTGATATTCTTTTTCTTCAGCTTTGAAGCCCTCCCGTGAGAGGTGAGTGGATAAATACATTAATAAATGGTTGTCAGGGAGTACGGAATAAGTGCGCTGTGAATAAGGGGGATACCCGGCAGCCGTAACTCTTCGAAAAATGTAGCGAGAGGTAGAATTTTCTAAGATATTTGGAAATGAGTTGAAATAGTACAGCATTTTAACTGGGTGAAAGCAAAAGGTGATGTTTTTCAGTCGATTATAACGGTACACTCTGAAAAAAATATTAAGGGCTCCTCATGCTCAAAGTGAGCTACAATCTATTACAAAATTTCAGAGTTTATCCTCCAGTTATGTAACTTGTACTCCAAAAAGAAAGCTCTTATTCTTCTCTTGCAATTAGAACAATAAGAGGTAGTAGAGAGAAATATGTTTTTCTTCTTGTCACAAGCGTGGGACAAAAAAAAATTTTGAGTCCTCATGAGAAATCGAACCTCAGACCTTCGGGTTCTGCGCTCTAATGCCATAGAGACTCCACGGTGAGCGAGGTCTATTTCGAAGTCCAGATGATACGCATCCTGCATACTGCTTAAGGGGGCATTGGGATTTTCGGGTTTGCGGTTTTGGCTATTTTTTTTATCGGTTTTTCGTTCAAAAACTTCGATTTTTCGGTTTTGGTGTCCTTGCGGTTTGCGGATTTTCCGTTTTTTTTAGCATTTGGTTTTCAGTTTTCGCGAAAAACACTAACGGGTTTTCGGATTTGATATCCGATGCGGTTTCCGGTCGTTCCAATTCACCTTTTGGGCTTCAGATGTCACGCGTAGTGTCACGTGACTTTCGATGTAAACAAACCCCGAAAGTTTGGACATTGAGGGCATGGAGGTGAGGTAACCCGCCTAGCCGTGGTAGAAAAATAAAACGCGTTTACATGCAATCTTACAACCCCGGGGTGCTGGAGTGAGGTTTCTTAAGGTTGATGTTGCGCTTGCAATTAGGGAGTTTGAGCGCAGGCGTCTCAAGCTCACATCTCGAGAAAGACGAACGATTAATTCTCGGACATGTATGTATTTATTCATGAAAGCGTCACGCGTTGTGTTACGCGGTATTAGGCTACGCAAGGAATCGTGGAGTTAATACGTTATAAGGAATGGTTTGGGAAACGAAACGCTACACGAAACGAAATACAACGCTAAATATTCCGAAATGTGAACATTTTACACTCCTTGTGTGTCCGTTGCGGTTTCTGGTGATTTCTGCAATGAGACGGCTAGGAAATGTACAAAGTTTTAAAACATACGTGTTTAGCTTTTGAGCTTTTTGCTATGAACGCGACCCCGGCTAGGCGGGTTACTCCACCTTGAGACGTTTACATGACAAATTGTCACCCCGGCTGACAGGGTTACCCCACCTCGACGCAATGTCCGAACTTTCGGGGTTTGTTTACATCAAGAGTTACGTGACACTACACGTGAAATCTAAAGCCCAAAAGGTGAATTAAACCTCCACTGACCTTGAATTTTATGGAGGGGAATGCGTGACAAACCAATTGATATATCACAGGGATCCCTGGGTAGCCTACGTGTAGCCGTATCCTCCCCCTTCCCTAACGTGGGGGGGGAGGGGAGGGGAGGGTATGGCTACACTTAGGTACGGCTAAGCACGGATCATTGCCAGAGTTTCTTTATCAACTCCACCTCGAAGTTGGTGACCAAGTTACAGGCCACACATGACTGATTGATTCAACATTTCCAATTTTTCAGGTCTTAGTTCGCAAATGGAAATGTTAGATTCGGGATTTTTGATGAAATTTACTAGAGCTTTAGCTTTTTGCGACTATAAAATTGCAATCCTATCGAGGACGTTTGTGCGAATTTCCTTAATTTAGTTAGGCTCCATTGCCGGCTGCTGAGTCCGCGGAGACCACGCTCGAGGACCTCGAGAGCGCAGCTGTTAATTTAAGCAGATACTAGAAGATACGAATGTCAAGTTCATGGTATTCATAAATCCTGTAATAAAATTAGTGTAGTCTACCCTGTATGCTCCACCTGTCACCACTGTATCGGATCGATCAGGTTTTTAATAACTAGGATGTGAAAATGTATCAATTGTGACAGTTTTGCATGCGGTTTTCGGTTTTGATGGAATATTTTTCGGTTTTTCGGTTTTGGATGATTTTTTCTACGGTTTTGCGGTTTCTAATAGGCCCCAATGCCCCCCCTCTGCTAGGATCAGTAATGTCGATAGCGTGTTAGCCTTCGTGGGAACCGAGCTTCTCGTCCCTAGGTTTGTTTAGATATGGGTTGTTACATAACTTATGTTTGGCCCCTAATAACCGAAGTACTTGGATTTTACCTATGGCCAGATTATTATTCACGCGTATGCTCACGAGGATGGGGATTAAAACGTAAGCCTCAAAATATGTACATGACTAAGTTTATTTTGGCAAACTCTATGGGATACTGTTGACACTGTGTATTCACAGATCACGGTGCCACCGTCGAATCACGAAGCAATAATATTTTATCACATAAGAAAATGACGTGCACATATTGTGTCGCTGATGCTGTTTTGACGATACCACCTCAGAATTATTTTTAGCCGAAGTTCCGTACTTTTTTCAGGCGTAGGAAGTCTTTTATTTCATTTTGGTATACGAAAAACGGTTACAGTTAAACAAAATGAAAATAACCAGTGTTTTCGAATATCTAGAAATAGCGAAGAACAGCTGGCAACATTTTCATTAACGTCAGAGCTGAATTTGAAGCCATTTAATAAGACGATTCAACAAGTGTGATTCGATTATGACAACGTTCTAAATTTGTATCATTTCCTGTTTCTTCTAAATGTTCTACGTTTCTTCGCAAGCAAAGATACAACGAATTTGCTGGGTAATTTTTTCCGGCGTTAAACTGAGCAGTCTCAAAAATAAATAAAAAATGCCGCAGAATTCAAAAGTTGTATCCACATTGGTAAACAAATAATTTTGTTGTGAAGTTAGATCAATTTTTAACTAGCTTATGAGTAATTATTCCTAAATAGTAAGAACGTTTGTTACGCGCTTTCAGCTTGTGTGCGAGCGTGAATTGAGGCAGGACTTAATTTCGTGACCTTTGCAGTCCCCGCGTGTACAAGAAACTCGCCTAGGATAGTATGAAATGTTATAACTTTCTCACTAATCAACACAACCTCTACTCTCCCCAGAAGCAAAATAGTATACTTCGTGTTGAAACACCTTAACGTACAAATAAAACGCTCGAATTTAAACAATGATTTCTGTGTTAGACATTGTCTGCACACGTTCACAGTCAAGGTTAAATAAACGAGCTCTATAGATAAGTAACAAAACAAGGGTAAGGGTCAAGAACAATCCACTAAAACAACGACTTTGCTATGTAACAAGGACTTTTGTGAGATCAAGTTCCTCATCTTCCGGCCTTCTCTAGTAGGCTCGTTAGCAAAGGACATTTGAACATCTTATCCTAACGAACAAGTAAAAGAATGGCGTCTAGTTACAGTTTCTTAAAAGAACGATGACTCATAGAGAAAAAGGAAAATTTGAGGTTAGATGTGTGATTTGTCTGGAGTGGTGTTTCTGATTGTAACAAGCTGCAATCGACATCGAAATGTGAAGTATGGATTCGTGTTTCTCAGACGTCCTCATCCAAGATCTAAATCATAACTTATGCCAACAAACCCTCATCGACATCTATCACCATAGATTAGCCTCCAAAAGAAATATTTTCTCCAAATCTCTGAAGTTGATTTGTTATTTTAGGCTTTTTTTATGGATTTATAGCAATATTATTTTGGTCTTTATGATCACTGCTCTGTGCATTCTTTTATAAAATGCTATATTGTTGCATCCGAAGGGTGCTTTCCGAACTTTAATCTAGCATTAGTGAGTAGTGATGGCTCAAACAATTGAATCTGTTCTAAATATAAATAATCTCACTCATGCTTTACAACGGAAACATCTTGAGGTTCGATTACAGTAGCTCCGTTTGAAGTAGGCAACTTGCAGTTTCATGCCCGGCACGATACCCTGAGATAAAAATAAGTTCACGTTCACTTTGTAACGAAAAAATATCACGTGGCCTGTACGCTGAACATGCTAGCATGGCATATTTCGGTACATAGTTCCGTTGGATTACGTGATTCATTCGAGTCGCGTTGGAACTTGTTCCTCAACGCCTACGCATAACCATAAAGGTATAACTTGCAAGGCGAGTCTATTGATGTCATTAGAGTCGAGGAATTGCAGTTTCTAGTTAACTAAAATATCTTTTGCATGCCTTCGGCAAACATATTGGAGACGTACACTCTTTGAAAAATGTTTTCATAAAGATATCAAGTACGAATGTTTGGCAGTTTCAACGCGAATCGAATTGGTTGTAGAGTTTCAGCGGGTTTAAGAACATCCGTATGTGACGGATGTGAAGAGTCCGTCCACGCAAAAACAAAGAGGTTTTTTGTCTTTTAGCTATTACCCTTCCACAAGTGTCACCCACTTTCCCCGAGTGTTGCGTCACTTTGCGTCACTTGGCACCGGGTGGGTGGACCTAGAAATCAACAGGATCAGTTACGTTTTGTATGTTTTGTACCATTTGACGATAGGGTCCGAGACAATGGTTGGAGGAAATTTCATGGCGCAAAACTCCACACAAGAATCGTTATACGAGGAGGTAATTACAAAGCACCCATGCCCGCCCAAGACTGATATAAACAGCAATATTCACATCGACATAAACAATACTTCTGTCCCGCGAGGGAAAGAGGCAAAATCAGTAGGGATGCCAAGTAGCGACACAAGGGATCATGAAGAAGTTATGGAGGATTGCGAAAACATCTACGAGATTATACCAGGAGATCAGTGTGCGCCACAAAATATTAAGCCCTGTCCAGTGATTCGTTCTTTTAGCTTGAGTAGTGCGGATAGAAACAAAGAAAGTCTTGAAAGGAAGACAGAACAGCTCAAGGACACTTCGACTTCGAGCGAATCCAATTCTGTTCCATCGTCGCCCAAAGCGGCAGTTCGGGATAAAACTGATGATTTGAATTCGACGCAATACGCTGAAATAATTCTGACTAAAAGGGTGTCAGATTTTATCCCTTCTAGGCCTACAAGGGAATCGGAAAACCCCATTCTAAGGCAGGACTTTTCAGGAAGCCTCTCGGGTTTACCAGAAAACTTACGAAATTTGCACAAGCACCTCACTGAGTTGTCCCAAGATCGGTTTCTCGAAGTACGCAACGCAAAGACAACTCCATCCACAACTCCCGAATGTGCTCGAAAACCCAACGAAGGAAGCCAACGATTGCCGAAAACTGTTTCTCCGAGACATTCGCCAAATCATTCACCGCGCGCAAAGGAGTCGCCAGGTCCGCTTTACTCAAATATGGAATTCCAATTTATGGAGGACAACAACAGTTCTCGGCGAAGCTCTGCATGCAGCAGCGTTAGTTTTAATGAACGGCAGAGCTTGAGTAGCTCAGAGGATGCAAACAGAGATACTGAGGAGTCGCCCTATGAAAACATTAAGGGTTTAAGTGTGAATGAGGCTGGAAGAACTCGAAATGGGAGCGAGCCAGTTGATATTGTGTACAGTGATTTGCATTTCCATGAAGCGCACCGATCTAGAGCAGTACTTGAAAAAACTGTAACCAGCCCTGTTAGTACCTCGCACGAGACAGTTAGCACCGATCACTCGAGAGCTCGCTCACTCCCGGTACAGTCAAGCCCAAAATTACCTCCTCGAGAAAAATTGAACCTGAATTCAAGCGATCCACGACCGAAGAGTCGGAGTCTGGGAAAGCTGAGTGGAGGCGCGCTCGGATTTTACGTTGCGCATTTTGTCAAGCGAGTAACTGTTCAGAGGTCGAACGCAAAAACTCTGCAAATGACAATTCAAGATATTGTGTCAAAGACAAAAGTAGAGGATTGCTCTTCAGTAAACGTAGAAGTTACATCTGATATGATGCGAATTAGTACAAACTGCGCGCCTTATGAGGTGATCGCAAGTTTTGATGTGGAAAACATTGGCTGCATTGATTTGTTTGAGCAGGACCACACGACCTTAGGAGTTGTAGTATGTTTGCCGGATGTAGACGCTGAATGTTTTGTCATTCGATGCTCAGAAGCTCAGAAGATCTACAGTGCAGTCAGAAACGCTTTCAATTCTTCAAACTCAAAGGTGAGCTTGAATCAATCACGTCTTTGAAGTATGTTAGTTTGAAATCTGATATTAGCATGGTTAATCTTTTTTAGGAAAGGTGTTAGGGCGAGTATTTGTTTACGCTAATATTCACCGGTTCATTTGTTGCGTACTTTTCAAAATACAAAAAGACAGAAAAAAATAAGAATTGTACTTGACGGCAAAAGATGTTGCTTTTCGACTGATTAAGGAACAGAACACTCAATGGACCATAAATCGGATGAAGTTCACGGTATAGTTGTCCAATTTGACAATTTTGACGCACCCCTAGGTATTTCCGGTTGAGGTTTTATATGTCCGGATGTTAGCTTGTCTTTTCAGGTCGTCTTACACAGGGATTAAAATTTTCGCGACTAACTCATATATATTTAAAATTAAGAATTTATGATTGGAAGAAAAAATTACAGAGACTCCTGAAGGTACAACAAAGTCTATCGGTTTGTTATTAAAATGACCGGCTGTTCGCGTCAAGGCGAGAGTCATGTGCTCCACCATTCATCAAACATAGGTTCGTTTGTTTTGAAATATGAACCATTTAAAAAAAGAAAGAAAGATAGAGAGAGAGAAAGAAGTAGTCTTTGACCAACTGGATCATAAAGAAACAGCTTTACCTTTCTTGTCGTGAATAGATGTTGGACACTAGAACAGGGCACTGAAAATGAGCTTTTATTCCTCAAGATAAAAGTTGAATTCAATTTTCTCAAATCTCTTGACAATCTACTTTTGTTTGCTACTTTTAATTACATGCTTTGCTTGTTCGTAAATAAGGGCCGGGTCGCACTAGAGCCAATTTTGTTTACTTCCAATTTTTGGCGAGGAAAAAATTGACAAAAATTTCGCAAGGGCCAAATTTTGGCGGTGTTCGCATTGGACCAACATGTTTGAGCCAAAACTTCGCTGATTGACATATATGTCATGTCACGATATCTACAGTCAAGAAAACATCTCGCGCATTGCTTGTGCAAGAATGGATCGTCATATACAGGTGATTATTTTCGCGGCTTTCGGGCTTTTGTTGAATTTTGTGTTTCAGTCTCAACAGAACAACGCAGCGTTTTTAGTATTGTTGATGCGGTAGCCGGATCCAGGGTAGGAGTCATTGGCATTTCCAAAAAACTGCCGCTCGTATTCCGCGTTTCCATTGTAAAAACCATAGAAAGAAGGGTCAGATGGACCGGGAAAAAATAATTTTGTCCCGACATCGTACGTGCAAACCTGCACTAGCCGAACAAAGTAATTTTTCCCGCCGTAACTTGATCCAAGTATGTTTGAAGGAAAATGACAGCTCAATGGTTAAACAAACAAAATTGTTTGCTTTGCCAAAATTTGGAAGCCTTCGAGGCAGCACTTCGGCTTCTCTGAAGATTGGCAAAAATTTGGCAATCCGCAAAAAATTGGCGAGTTTTTGAAACTGGGGGTCGCACTTATTTTACGTTACTTGGTGACAGATTTATTACTTATGCAAACAAAATTGGCTAAACTTTGCTCTAGTGCGACCCGGCCCTAAATCCGGAATTAACCACAACCTTATTCTTCAAGTGCTTTCCCCTTAGAAAAGATTTACGATTTAAGTGAAGAATGACTCATACCCTCACGTTTATGGACTTATTCATTTTAATGATAACTTGAGATGTTTCTTGACATTTTGAAAGTCTCAAAGTTATTTTTCCTAAAGTATCATTTTCGTTACTAATGGTGACAGTAACTTATCAATTCGCAACCTCACCAGAAAAGAAAAAATCATAATTTTAATGTGTGATTTTCTCTCCCCACGTTTTTGTAGATTTGCTTTATCATTTTCGGTTTTGATAGTGATAGTAAGTTGTCGATTCACACTTATGTTACATTATCTCGTTAAAACGCAAAAAAATCGACAATTGCTTGCGACATTTTCTACCACACGACAATTATAGGTCTTCACTATGTTAGAGTAGTTGTCTAAGAAAATATGTTTTATTCTTTTTCTACTGTGTTTTGTAGTTAGTTGGTTTGTAGCAAATTTAAATCGATCTTTCAGTTTTGAGGGATTAGTTTAGACATTGCTTGTCTTTTTCCCTTCGTCCTAGACTTTCAAGGTGCCAGCCTCGACTCCAGTTGGACCAGAGAGCTGGTTGGGAGATGATGACATCACAACGTTCACTGGCATTTCGTATCTCGGATCACTCAAGGTCAAAAAGTCGTACTTGTTGATCAACGAAAGTATCACATCTCTCCTGGAAAAGGCACATCCCAAAGAATTCAAAAACACTTTTGTTGAAGTACATGCCAATCAAATTCGAATAATAGATTCACGGGACAATAAAATAATACATCAACACGCCATTCCATGGATCTTACTGCTCGGTGTTTACGATCAAGACACAAGGCTCTTCGGCTACATTGTGTCGGATGCACGACAAGGGGAAAAGACCCGGATGATTTGTCATGCGTTCCGATGTAGTCGCATCACTACGTCAGTGGCTGTAACTGAAGCTATCCGGCTTGGTTGCCAGGCCACGTATTCCGAACGGAGGGACTCGGTTCGATCATCAAGGCGAATCTCGTTCATTTCAGATAGTTCTAGTGGTGGATCTTTGGAAACCATGTCTTCGCCGCCGAATGAACATCTTGATTCCGCGGTATGTTTATGAGCAAATCCTACCTAAGTAATTTTTGATTTAGAGTTGAAAGCAACTTTGGAATTTCAAAAGTTTTTGCTTTTCTGCATTGTGTGATTCTTAAAATAATTCTCGCCATCCTCTAAGCCAATCAGAACGTTTAAGCCAATTTTCTCGCTCTTAGGGAAGTTTGCTTTTGTTGTCATTTTGTGGTTTAGGATTTGTGACATTCATTTGGGAAGTTTTTGATATGTAATAAAAAACAGTTGCCTTCGCAGCTTTGTTAACTAGTCGCCTGATATGAAATCCAATTCTCAAGCCACATCTACCTAAAGAAAGTGTGCACAAGAAGAAAATCTCTATTTCCTCTGAACCATCATTTTAGCATTGTTTCTGACTAAGACGTATTTGATTTCATGTATATGACCACGCCTGCATCTAAATACTCATCAAGAAACGCCGATTCAGTTATGCTTTGAGAACCCGGTTAACTTTCTGTGCTTGTGAAGTCCCATTGTTACTAATATTGAATTTTGTGATTTATCTTTGTTCCTTAACTCATAATTCAATTTTTTTTTCTGCAGGTTGAAAAACCGAAAAGCAAACAGCAGAGTTCAAAACAAGAAAACCCCAAAGCAAAGGAGAAGGATTTCATAAAAAGCAGCCTGAAGCCGAAACGCTTTGCCTCCATGCCAAATTTAATGAGTCGTAAGTCTTCTAAAAAAGACAAAAATCTCAAAATGGAAAGCCACACCGACAAGAATTCTGGGAGAACTACCTCGATCAGTTCTGCGGAAGGGGATGACGTCATCGAAGGTTCATGGGAGGTAGTGGAGGAGGAAAAGGTTTACAATTTTGATGTAACATATCTCTGTTCCACTGTTGTCAATCCACCTCTCCGACCAAAACACTTGCGTGAATGTGTCAAACAATACCAGAAACAGCAGGCTAAGTTCCTGAAAAAATTCGGACACGAACAGCCTTCGAATGAGGTTGCTTTATTGGTGTGTATAGATGGAGTTGAAATGAAGGACTCACAGAAAGGAGGCCAAGGGATGTTTTTCCCCCTAAGTTCAGTTAGCAATGTAATGGCTCATCCAGAGACACCTGAATACTTTGCTTTCGCGACTGTGGTTACTGGAGATTCAAAACATAAGTGCCACTTGTTTCAGCAAACGAAAGTTCCCTCTTCTGAGTTGATTCAGAGTTTCCAAGCATTTATGTAGAGGAAAGTCCTAACAAACACTGCATCACAAAAGCACGAATTTGTTGTAGAGTGGTTGCTGAGTAACTGTGGTAAAACTAAGACCAAGTTCTGACTAATCAAAGCGAAAGCTTATCAGTGTCAATCACCCTATCAAAAAATAATGAAAATGTGCGTCCGGCGCCAAGCGCGGGAAAAATGCCATTTGCGTCATTGCTGGTTTTGATCTTAATTGCCAATGGTTAAAATTTGCTAGGTTTGTGCTGATTACACCAAATGACATTGTATTACTTGATTATCGCTGGGGATTAACGAATAGAGCGAAACTTACCAAAACAAAGAATGTCAATTAATTTTCATTCTGCGAAAAGCTCACTACATCCGTGTACCAATCCACGATACCAGCCGGTTGTTTTGAAGCAGGAATTGACCAAGGATCTAAAACAAATTCACCCAAGAAACGGGTTTCAAATGGCCATTTGTTCGGAAATACATGTCATGTTCGATTTTAACCTTCGTTATTAATCATCAACTTATCTGACCTACCGAGTATTTGTAGAATTGTAAGGTTCCATTTTTTTACTAATCACAGAAAATGACGTGTGAGACAAATTTGAAGCAAATTAGGAGACAGAGCTTCTTGCCAAAGAGAATTACTTATACAGAAGTATTTTTATGCCTATCGTTTTATAAAGTAAATTTAGATTTCCGGGTAATTTATTAGTCTTCAATGTCAGTGAAATGTTTCCATCGGAAGGTACTATTTTGCATGGTAGCAAACAAAAGAGTCTTGCTAGAGGTCTTCGAATAGAAGAGATCACATTTATATATTATACATATGTAAAAAAATACTATTTCTTGTCTCGAGAACGACATGATTCTTAGCTTAGTCATGGATATTGTGACAACGAAAACGTTTGTGAGATTTTTTTACCAGTCCATTAAAAATGAACACAAGTTTTATGGAGGAAGTTAGTTTTACTTTGTATTGCGTAACTCAGTGGTTGCTTTGTTGGAATTCAGCAGTGTAGCGAGAAAGTCTGAGGGTAAAGAGAAGCAAATTGCTCCGCCGGGAGCTCTGCTTCTTGTTTATGTGGCTCCGTAACCATATTACCAATGAATCCCTATCAGGATCGCATTTCACATCCAAAATTCGTTCCCTTAGGCCTGTTTTCATTAGGGTCTCAAGAATAACGGTCATAAATGATCACCAACTAAAGGAGCTCATAATTTTTATGAAATTCTCTTTGTCAGCATCTCAGGAAACTTGTAAAGAAAAGCATGGAGAATGTGCACACTGGTGTAAGGTTGTAAAGGGTTAAGAGTTGGGAATTACGATTAAGTGGTGTTGCCTTAGAGCACTGATTAATGACACTGCTTGGTGGCTAAACCGAAGTCTTCTCAAATCCCAGCTTTTGTGCTAGACCGGATTGGGGTACAGAATGATAGCTTTATTCATAGATACGGACTTTCTCATGCAACATTACAGGTCGGTGTTCAATTCCGAAAGGGGTACGCAGCTATTAATTATTATTGGTGCTCAGTCAGTGGTCGGACCACTAAGCAATCCAACGTTCAAATCCGCATTCAATTAAGTTTCCGAATAATTATTACTTCTAAGAACGATTGCAAATCACATTCAGCCCATATTTCGTAATGCACCTCTCGTCAGCCCATATGTACAGGTGAAGCCTGAAGAACGAATTAAGATGGTTATGAACCAACGATCTAGCACAACTACAAAAGGAAAATAGTGTGGGGTGGCGTAGTATCGAAATTAGTTTATTATAATAATATTTCTAAACTGCTGTGTTCATCATGAGAGGTGCGACTATCGAATAGGTGCTATATGGTGGGTGAACAGATGAACTAGGGGTTGTACTGGTTCAAAACCATTACAATTTCCTCAAATGTGATTGGTACATTAGCTGCTTTATTTTTCACCAATCATTCTGTACAGCTGTGATCCGACAGTGTAATTGGACAGTCGGCTGTAATCGGACAGTTAAGTAGTCCACTCGGCCAAATCCACCAATTACAGAATTAATCACAATAACCATAGCAATAACCACTAATCCTGATAAAAAAAGAACTGAGGAATTTCCAAAATGGGGACATTTTTTTTTATTTTAGACACTGTCTCTACCGGAGATATTGATCTATAATATGTATTTGTTGTTTTCGGAAATTGTAACGGTTATAATTCATTGGTAACAGGACTTCTTGTCATCCAATTTTGTCTGTAATCATCACTCGTGTTTGACAAATTGGACTCCCGCTTCGCGGTCGTTTGATTTTGTTAATCACTCGTATGATTACAGACCGAATTGGAGTTCAGTCGATCCTATTACCATTACACATTGCCTGTGTACAGGCTCTAATTGGAGCTGCGGTACAAGCGACTAAGCCAGTAAGATTCGACACGGTGAGCGAGGCGATCGTGCGAGAAGCCTGGGAAGGGTCTGGTACGAAAAATTACCTTTCTACCAACAGCGTGTATCGCGGTGACGCTCGCATCTCTCGCTGACGCAATTTAACACGCGGGCATCGCTGCTTTTGTGACGAGGCCGGTGAGAGCTAATGCACTGAACAACGCTTTAATACCTTCTTAGGCGAACTACGTAATACTCCCTTTAAAAAAGTTGACGGAAACCTGAAGTCTTCTATATTTCTTTAATAAATGATTAGTCGTTCTGTTTATCGAGACGGAATGGACAACTTTACCACAGAGGGCTCTTCCAATCAAAGGGGCTTGAACATGATTTGGAATACATTTTACTTCAGAGACTTGGCGACTTTTGTACAATAAAATTCGATTGGTTAATGACAATCTCACATCTAGAGAAGTGCGAATTTGATTATTTGCGAGTTACAAAACAATTTGTGCGGAAAGGGAATTCAACGACGACATTTTCTAACGCATATAAAATAAGATCTGTAAAAAAAAGGCTCGCCACTAGAGTTCAAATCCGTAAAGCGTTACAAATCTTATAGAATAGAAATCTCTAAACAAGTATCAAAAGGACCCAGTAGTAATGATACTATCAACAATGAACGTTGTGCCGTAGTTAGTAATAATAGATTTCAAGGATGAAATGACGCCCCCTAACAATCATCACGTACATAAATCGAGGGCGAATAATCGAATTGTTTTAGTACAAATCTACTGGACGTTCAAACTTGACAAGAAGACAGGTTCATGTTTTTCATCCACTTTCATGTTCATCACTGCATACTGCTTGGCCTGTCATTTTACGCACTGTACATCACGGAACAGATAGTGAGAAGCATAGCCAATCATCTTTCAGCATTTGTAACAGAGCGCCAGTAGATTTATACAAAAATCAAATATTCTTGCTTTTCTTTTATTTTTCCGTCCAAAAATGTTCCTATTAGACGGTTTTCTCTGATTCAAAAGGCAATTTTTTGTGTCCATTCTATGGAAATTGGTTAGATAGCTTCCTAAAGTTGATTCCAAGGGTAAGTTAGTGGAGAATGAAGTTTTTGTATCCCCATATGCTGATGGTCTTAGGCGTAAGTTTAACGCCAAATTAGAAATATTTTGTTGTCGCTAAAAAATAGCGAGAATATCACTTCACAGGAGTGTCTGATAAGGACTCCAGCCTGATGGACTTGATGAAAAAGCCAAGACATACCCTCGAACTTAACCTAGTAGAACTAAGAAACATCTCTTCATTTCGTACCCCTCGCGTTGTATCAAGTTTCTATAAACAATAAAAATAATAGTGCCAATCTTTTCTTTTCTATTGACATGAAAAAAAATTTTTCCTCGAAAACGGTGACCTTATCGTTTTAACAACGAACGCCCCTTTGATCAGAAAGAAAAAAAAAGGTCTAATGAACGTAGAGCGTTTTACTCATATTCGCCAGCGATCTATTTATTTGAACCATATTAACACAATTCCCTAAAAAGTGATGGAAAAATCTAAAACAAAAATCACAGGTATCGCCAATACGGAAAAATATTCACAAGTACAGCTCTATCCTGAAAAAGTAGGCGAGCTTTGTAGTCCCGCTGAGGTAAATATCATGGAAAACCTCGAAAACGAAAAAGAATTTCTAACTCCAAGCAATCTCTCGAAATTTGTTCACTGTTCGCATATTTTTACACAGTACAGGGACGGTTTAAAAAAAAAAAAATATGTTTGAACAGCCAAATTTCCAATCAGAACAAAATAAATTGTTTTTCTATTTTGCTCTCGAATAATTTACTTTTCTCGTCTTCTTCATTTTCGAAGCTCAAAAAAAAGTAACAAGATGATAAAGTTCTACGGAGTAAAACGCGAAAATCTGATTTACGTGGACATGCCGAACACATCACGATTAAGTAGGACGTAATGCAACATTAGAGGGAGTTTCTGTTACCTACAATAAAACTACGTTTTACACATTATCTCTGGCCAAACTCCTTAAAGAGTTCTTCAGAAGTTGGCACCCTGATCACCGTTTCCGACTTCAGTAGGGGCTGGGTCGTGTCATGTGACTCCCCCTCCATATGCATGTCCAATAGCGTCAACTTGTCTTGTTCGCTCGTCGGACTTTGATCCGAAGACGAAGGTGATGGACTTAGACTGTCCTGCCACGGCCTGGGGCGAGGCCTAGCGGCGCCCACAGCCTCCCCAGTTGGGAAACAAAACTTCGCGTTAGGGGTAAAGTCCGTGGAGTTGCAATCCAGGCGAGGTGAACTTGCTCCCCTGGGAGAGAAGGGAGGGGGAGGAATTTTAAAAATGTCTTGCAGCTCCTGTGAATATCGTTTGCAGTTCACCACTGTATTGGTCGAAGAGTCATCCGCAAAACTGGAAATACTATCATTCGAAATGTTAATTCTGTTGAGTTCACTCGAATCCATCGACTTGGACCTTCGGTCTCGTCTTTCCGTCGCTAAGTCGATAAGTTCTTTGTCGCCCTGTTCGGGACACACCGTGACTGAGAACGAAGTTGAAGAAGACCGACCTCGGAGAGAGTTCGGCTCTGTGTAAGTTAAGGGAGGTTGACTATCGCTAAAAAAAGTCGCCTTTAGTAGAACAGGAGTGGACAGAGGCCTTTTGTTTTGACCTCGCATCATGTCGACTGGTGCAGTGAACTCCACATTCTGTGGACTAGAAACGGGCGTGCTCGAGTTTGAATTAACCGAGGTGTCTTCGGTCGAGGTTGAACCAAACCACGATCGACGATTGGAATTTCCGACTTCGTGCCGTCGCCGGGAATTCGGTGACTTGTGCTTGTCCGATTTCGAATTTAATCTTAGCAATTCGGGACGAAGATCTTTCGCACCCTGTCTTAAATCAGTTCCTAAAGCTACTGCGGACGCCATTATACCAACACAGCAAACAGCTACCTCGCAACGATGCTTAGATTTGGTTTTCTGTGAAGATTTGAGAGTGGACATAGGGCTGTTATCTGCTGTTACGTACTTACCGTTGACACCTGTCTCATAAAAAGAAAGAAAACATAGTTAAGTTGGAGAACTTACGACAAGATCGTTTAAGTCACTAGCTTTGGCATCTCTTTATGTCAAATCAAAAGAAAATCGTGTATGCTCATCATGTATGTGTCAAAAGTTCTTTTAAGCGTAACGATGACTGAATCGTCACGCAATCTGTATTTCAATTTCAATACGCTACAACGTGAAATAAAGCAAGAGAAAGAATTAGAACAATGTTTGCGCAAGCGCCAAAGAACTGAGCATATACTGCCTCAATTTCAGCCTTAAAGAAAATAACGTGCGAACTAAATTTTTTCTCGAAAATATCTTAAAATTGGAAAAAAGTGAGCGATTTCAAAAGTGAATTCCACCACAAGTGAGAAAAGGACTCTTGGAACGAACACGACACGTTGTATGAAAAAAAAACAGAATTTTTTGGAAAATTCAAAACAAAATTGTCGATTTTCGTCATCAGATAGAAAACGAAACGTGGCAAAATCAAGGGAAGTTGTTATTCACAAGGCAAAAATAGTGGTATCGTACGCAACATAGTTGAACTTCCTTACCAATATTTTGGTTTATCACTGATCCCAAGTTAGGAACTGAGTTACACCTTTCTGTCATAAAGCTATCCCTGGCTTTTACACGCCTGCTCTTGTCTCGGTCTCGCTGATGTACTGAGCTGGGTCCCCACGTGCGGATCTTTTTGTTTTTGTCCGGGGGACTGACGGGGACCTCGCCAGGATCATCAACTGAACAATAACGAATAATAACATTTAAGTTGTGTGCAATACATTGTTCATGTAGCTATACACTACTTGTAACCACCGAGTTTTTCATTAAATACAATGAAAAAATAACAAAATGCCAACAAACACAAAGCGAAACAAAAAAAAGTAAACAACTCGAAAACAAAGTTGTCTTACAGGACAGCAGTCTGAATCTCTGATGTACTGCAGGGGATGGTGGCCCTGTGGTGTTGATGCCTTCTGTTAATGCTGGGTTTGAGTCAAAGATATCAGACGTGATGGTAAACCTATGCTGGAACCCTTAAAAGGAAAAGAAACACAGTTCTTAGCTCTTTCTTTTCGGGGATTGCTTTCAAATCAGGAACCCAAAACTACTTTTGTTCAGAACTACATGTAACGTTGAAAATGGCAACAAAAAAGTCTTCCCAATAAACCGCACACACGTACCATGTTGAAAAAAATAGAATTATTTCTGGTTACAAGTGCTTCTTATACTTAATTTCCATGGAAAGCAAGTGACTTTCTTGCACTAGATATTGTGACTCTATAGACACTGTTCACGTAGTGAGCTGTAAGTATTCAATTGGTGCAAACAAAATAAAAAAAAAGGTAAAACATTTTCAAACCTGTTGGTGCACTAATTTTTCTTCCACTTCCAAACCTCAGTTTAAAGAAGTGACCTTTCCTCTTCTTTGGAGATGGTTTGAGTTGCTTCTGTTGCTGTATATTAATCACAACAAGAAGAAATAAGTTTATCATTACTAAATTGATGACTACATACTGGATGACACAAACTTAAAGCAAGTACCAGTAAGTAGTGAGTCATTTTACAAATAACCATGTGTTTTAATGTTAATAAGAGGTGACAGAAGAATTGCTTTATTAAGGTTAGATCATTCAATCACCTGTATTAGCATGTTAATCTCTTTTCCAAGAAGCATCATCTCTCTTTGCGCAAGTTCTTCTTCTCTCTTTTTCAAACTCTCAGCATGTACCTCTTGTGCCATCTGTATTTGCCGCAGTTCATCCTCTCTGGAGGAAAGTTCCTGTAAGAAGAAAGTTATACTTTTGAATAACTGACTTTGCAGCGTTAAACTGCACCACAGAATTAAGGCTGATTTTCATTATGTATGGATATCAACATAAGGCACACCATCATACCTTTTCTTTCTTCCTTAATTCATCAAATATCTGATCAATCTCTGTCTGCCAGCCATCCTGTAGTGTGCGGAATGAGTCAGGATCATCTTGCACAAAGGAAGAATCTGAAATTTCTTCCAGATCTTCTAGAATTCCCTGAAATGAAGGTCGTTTATGGGGATCTTGATTCCAGCATTCTAAACAAAAGAAAATTACATTTAGCCTTGATTCCTTAGTTCTCTATATGAATTTTCCAGTAAGGGTGAGAAAAAGATTACAAAAGACAAACTAACCTTTTCAAACTCAAGATCTCACTACTAATTCTCTTTACTATCTACCATACAATTCTTACAATGCTATAGTTTTGCAAATTTGGTATTGGATCAATTAAGAATTCCCTTATTGATATTTTTCTTTATTCCTATCACTTGTTTGCTTGATACTGTTTGATATTGTAAAGTTAAATTCTGTCTTAGTCACTCCAAGAAATTAAAGGGCTAAGATAGCCACTAAAGCAGCAAATTTCGAAAGGAACGAGTGACTTTGAAGAAGCTACTCCTCCCGGATGGGATAGAAGTCCATTCCAGGTTGAAATTTTCCAGTAATATGATCCATCCTAGTTGGAGAGAGGTGCTAAGAGGGCAACCTATCTTGGCCAAGTACACCAAAAAAATTAACCCACCCAATGCACTAACCACTCAGTCATTACATGTAACATGTATGTCTCTTGCATTCTTCTGGCACAAGTTGCTGAAAACCCTCAATCATAATTCTGCATTACAGTCAGTTTTCTCTCAAATGACACCTAACCATGGATACTTGTAGTCCACTCCTGCCGTTTGATGGCAAATGCCTCTCTCAGACAGATCCCTTGGGCTGGTCATTCATGTAAAGGTGTATGTTCTAGGGAGTTGGCTGAAAACAGTAACTATTATGTACATGTATACCAGTCTAACCTTTCATTAATTCTTTCAAAACATCAGGACAAGTGCTGGGTATTGGTAAAGTTAAACTGTTCATTGCAACACCATAAGCAACAGCAAGTGCTTCCACGTCTCTGTAGGGAACTTGTCCTGTCAGAAGCTCCCACAAAACTACACCAAAACTGAACCATTAAAGGATATAAATTAGTTCCATACACCTTAATGAGACAGTCAGGGGAGGGGAGGGGGGGGGAGAACAAACTGCACCAATAAGGTACATGTATCTGAAATATGGTCATCACCAAAATTTCCCTGCTTCACAATTCCAAATTACAACCATTTTGTCAATAAAATTTGCTGCTTAATTCCTAAATTAGTCACCAGAAATGCCCCTTTTTTCTAAGAGCTAAAAACAGAGTTAACCTTAACCCTTTAACTCCCTAGATCTCCTTAGTAATTCTCAAATGATTCTCATTAAGTTACTTTGGATAATTTGGAATTGAATCAATTAGTAATCTCATAACTGATATTTTTCTTTATTCTCATCACTTTTCTGCTTGATATTGTATTGATATTCTGAGGAGAAATTCTGTCCTTTACACCCTGACATCAGTATGCATATTCTCCATACAGCTCTCTATACATTTCCTAAGGTGCTCACAAGGAGAATTTGTTTAACAATCAAGAGCTTCTTTAGTTGGTGATCATTTCCTTTATTCTCGTGACTTAAACCTTTTATTCAGGGATGATATTGTAAGGAGAAATTAGAACCTTGTCACTCTTAGTGATTAAAGGGTTAAATAAAAATTATATGAAATATTATTCATGCTCTATTGTTTTATTTTTTAAAAAATTTGCCTACTTCTCCTTAATTGCCTGAGTACTGAGCCTTGTAGTGTTGCATGAACCTAGTAAGGAATTGCCAGTTGCCTTTTCATTCCCTGGCAAGAGAACTTATTTTTCTGATTCTTATTGACAATTTCACTCAATATTGAGATTGGAGATCTGTTCCTACAGCACAATCCACAAGCTCAGTGTACAGTTATCAATTAAATGGAAGATTGAGTCAAACAGAGAGACTTTACCTTTCACTGTGAGATAAATATTGAAACCCTGAAAAATTTGTTTAAAATTTTGCAAGGTGCATTTCCACATGTGTTTGTTCAATTTAAAAATCACTATTAAATACTACTCAGTGGAATTTAAACCCACCTCCAAACATCACTTGCTTTCGAGAAAGTGTTGGTTCTAATCACCTCTGGAGCCATCCATGCATAAGTTCCTGCAGCACTCATTCGTGTTGTGTTCATTATTTCTCGAGCCAACCCAAAGTCAGTTATTTTCAGTACATTCTCAAAATTTCCATCCTCAATTTTATTTAAGAGTAAAACTGGAAAAAAAAGGATAAAAAATTTAACAAATAAAATGAGTGGGAGTTATATGTTTAAGGTAAGTTCAATTGTATTTAACCAAACTTTGTTAACTGCCAATTTTTTTAAACAAACACTAAACAACGTCAGCATACAGCAAGCACATTCATCTAATGATACACAACCAAAGTGCAGAGCATGAAATTGCGCCTAATATAGGCGCCAATGTGACTAAATTTTTCACTTTGGCGACCAAATCCTGAAAGTTAGTCGCCAAATTGGCGACTAGAATGTTTCATCATAACCTTACCAAGAGATATAGTGAATTAAAAAGATTTGCAAAGATAAATCCGCGGCAAACTTCCTCGTTAAGTTTGTTTCCAAAACATAGCACATGCATCTCGATCGATAACTAGATGCCATCTTGGATTTAGATGAGCCTGAACTTTGTATATCATCCATCCTAGTGTCCACTTTGTAGCACGTTAAAGATCTTTTCCCTAACTTAATTTTGGAGGGTCTATCTAGAACGCTGACAGCGTAAAGAAAGATTTTGTTTGTCTTTGAAAATGGCGACCAACTTTTTTGAATTGGCTACCACTTTGAAGAATTTAGGAGCCAAGTGGCTATCAGAAAAAAAAGTTAATTTCACACCCTGAAGTGTGATTTTATTTCTGGCAAACCTTCAGAAACTCATTCTGAGGAGCAAAACTGGTAGAAAATGGAACTCTTCATAACAAACTTAAGCAAGGTCAAGGTCTGATTGACACAAGACAGGTTCTGCACTATATAGGACCCACATAACAGTAATATGGTATCTAATTCAACCCTAACAAAGCTTGAAAAGTTTTCATGGCATAAATATTAGATTTTGTTTCATTTGCCAATGCTTTCACTTCTTCACCATCTTCAAAACTGAAATTTACTAGAAAAAGATGTCCATTGAAAACTGATTTATTTGTATCAAATCACCGGAAATATTTATGTTATTAGATGGAATTATAGGTTCGAAAGAAACCTTACTGGGTTTTGATCTCAAAGTTTACGCATGGGTAAAATTACAGTAAATGGTGACACTGATAACGATGCTTAATTAAATGGAGAAAGGAGTTTCATCTCAGATGATAAGAATGTTATTTATGTACAACTAATAGGTGCAAAATAAATGTAGCACAATCAGAATTATTTTAATTGTTTTTTTCATAAACCAGAGCACACACAAAAATGCTATGTCATTTTAAAATTCACAATTTGTTGAATAACCTTGCAACAAAAAGAATGTGGAATACACAACAGGAAAATGGAATAAAGGTAAATGTCGTTTTTGATGCAAACAATTTCTTACAAATGCAATACTGATGAATGTTATTCTTTGTGTCATAAATTCTTGTCTTGATTCATTTATGTACAAATAACTTTTTCATTTTGTAGAAATTCAGTAACGGCTCTTTCACAAGAAAAATGAGGTTACACTATAAAAAATGAGAAGGCATCCGACTATGCGGTGACGAAGTTTTTAACACGCAAATCGAACGATTAACCAAAGGCTATTTGAAGAGTAACAAACGACAGCACTGTATTTAAATGTTGTGGTACTTCAATTTACATAGATGCAAAGATAGGGACGAGACTAAAATGATTTCCTACAAGCGGCTATCTGATAAAGGCATGTCAATCTCAAAATTAGTAAAATTCTATTACAATCGAAGACAGATGAAATATAAAAACCAGTTTGCGTGCAAATTAAATACTGGGGGTCTTTTTGAGACTTGACTGAAATTTCTTCAACAAGCAAGACGATTTTCGTCTTAATCTCCGATGAGAAGGTAAAAATTTTTTCACTTCCTGTCTGGGAAAGCCCAACACACACTCAGTTCCCTCGTATAAATTACCTTTTTATGCTGCGGGAAAATATATCTCACTGGAACTAAAAACAATATCACCTAATCATGTCCAGTATTGTTTTAAATTTTTGTTTCGAACGTGAAAAACAAAAGCTTAGAACTGAAATATTCGCAACAAAAGCCACTCAAGAAGGCGATGGTATGAATTACTGACTGCGGAAAGAAAATAAAACACCGTTTGGCCGCTTTTCTAGATTTTCCTTAATATCATGAACTTCGTGCAAAACAATTTTCCAAAGTTTCTCACTGTCTTCATCATTAAAACGTAATGAGCATGAAAAATTCACAATAACAACTGACAATGTTCAAACGAAGGAAAACAATGGTGATGTATTACAAGCTGGCGGCAGAATTAGGGGTCAATGCGTGGAACACCTCCGTTTTCTCGCTTCAAATAGGAAAAGGAACACGAAATGTAATTACTCACTGTTTCCAGACTTGAGATCCCTGTGAATGATACTCAGCGGAGCTTCATTATGAAGGTAATACATACCACGAGCTATCTGCAAGGCCCAGTCTAGCAAAACATTCGGAGGAATAGTTCTACCGTGAGTGTTTAAAACGCGAGAGAGAGCACCACCTCGGGCATATTCTAGAACCAGACAAAAGTTCGGTTCTTTCAAACAAACACCGTATAAACCAACAATATTACGATGCCGAAAAATGGAAAATAACTTGGCTTCTTTGGTGACGGCGTCCACAATCTCGCTGTAGTCCTGGTAGGTCTCAGTGCGAGCGACTTTTACAGCAACTTCCTCCTCTCTCCATCGAGCACAATAAACTTTTCCAAATGCACCGACGCCGATCACATCTACCAGGTCGAGCTCGTTGAAATTGATTTCGAGAGGTTCGGTCAAACTGGTCCTTTTCGTATCAGTCGTAATGTAGTTGGAAGGAAACAAGCCGATTCGTGATTGCCCCTCAACACGACCGACCCACCATCCGTCGTCTCCGCTTACTTCGGGATCTCGAGATAAAATTTCAATGCGATCGCTCACTTTGAAGGTTAGTTCATCGTCGTCTACTGCATCGTAGTCGTATAACGTTGTGCAAAACTCCCCTGTCATAAGCTTCGTCAACGGAGAATTTCTCCCCGTGAATGTATCCATTCCTTCGCTTTGAACTAAAGCACTAGGCATTTGCATCGGCTCTGAGCACGCTCTACATAGATATTACTCCGTGTGGCCTTTTCCTTTAGCTTGCGGACAATATCAAGAGTTTGGAGACCGCAATCGTTCGAAAATCGCCGCTCTCGTCCGCATAAACAATCAGCTCCAATTCTGAAACCCTGAAATGGCTGGTCAAAATGGAGGCAGTTCCGCAGCGGGCGCGGTTGCAATATCTTATCACGTGACAGATGTCGAGTGTATATGATTGGTACAAAGGTTGGCAGAGAACTTTCCGTGTCCAAGAAAGTTGACATTGTACAAGTTACCGTGACAACATTTTTTTAAATTTTTGGACTTCCTTACGTTTTGGAATTATAAGTTTAGAAGGGGTCTCTAAAAATTCACAAGCATATCATTTTCAAAAATCGTTATCATAATAGCTTTTTCGACAGCTGAAATGTTGTTGCAATTCTGCCGAGGCGAAATCATGTATATTACTTTCCAGCAATCCTAAAATAGAAAACATGTAAACAAAGAAGTAAACAGTTTGATCACGCCTTTTAAATGATTTTAAGCAAAAGGGTATCACAGTATTCCTTTCAACCGATTTTAAAAAAAAGTCTCGAAGTCGAGGTAACCTTGCGTACAGTTGTTTGCTTGCCGGGGAATCCCCCAGAAGAATCTGACTTCATACCAACTGCCTTTCCAACCAAGTCATCGCTATAATTAGACATGACTCAACAGTTTGATTTGAGATTCGAGTATAAAAATCTGGGTTCATTGTAAACCGTGATTTATTTGTTCCCAAAAACCAAGGTCTTCGTTATCAATCCAAAAAAATATATATACATCACAGTTCAAGTATTTATTCGGAACACCTTTTAGAGCTGCACGCTTTACATACGTTTAAATATCCCGCAAAAGCAAAGCAAACTATTTAAAAATTCCAAAATTCTGCATGTGATATGGGCCAGTAATAAATTTTGAAGCCTCACACCATAAAAATAACAAATGTACGTGACAGGCGTATTTACGTCAAATATGCTATTTCGGATCTCTTGCATATTTCGCGAGAGATTTGACAGCTGTGATCATTAAATATCCTTCCATAATTTCATAATAAGGTCAGGTCTGATAAAGATAGTAAGCAATTCCGGTTCATTTTACCAGTTAGGATCACGTTTACACAGCTCTTCCGGCCTGTTATTTCTGGCTTGTTTACCTTTTTTGTGTACTTTAAAATTCTTATTTTGCATGAAATTCTCTCTCTCTTTTAACAAAATGATGACAAAATTATTTTGCCTCCTATTTATGTTTATAAACATTTTGAGTTGATGAGTACTTTTTTTGTTGGTTTTTACATGACATTTATTTTTCCAAGTTTTCTTCCGAAATCCCTGTCAGCAATTTTTCCTCTCAGAAGAATCTCTTCATATTCCCTAAAAGCGCCATTCAATGTTAGGTTACCTTATGAGAAGTCTTGTGATCTATCTCAGCATCAACTATCAGCTCACTCTCCTTTTCCGTCTTAAGATGCTTCTTACACTCGAATAAGAGTAGGCATGAGTTTTTTCGTATAAAGTAAAAAAAACATTTTGAACACTTCCGCTAGTTTAGTAGACGAGTCCTAGAAAATCTGTTCACTTTGGATATGAAAAAAAAAAGGTGATATGCTCGGCAACTGAAGATTCATCTGATTTTTCAAATCATTACAATCCACAAAGGATATCAAACGTGTTTAGTTTTCCTGATTGCGTAACATAAGTCGAAGGAAACGAAAAAATGTGAGGGAGGACATGTAAACTTGATAGGGATCCCACTTAATCATCGTACACTTCTGCATGCGGCGGAAAAATGCTGTTGAAGTTGACATTTGTGATCAAACATTGCAGTTCTACCTTCCTTTTAGTCTTGCGAAATACAATTGTAGGGGAAATGAGTTCGCGAGGGAGTGCATTTTCATCCGATATCCTTGTGTCAACTTCCTACGAGCGTCAGGAAAGGCGTTTTGAAATTTAAAAATGGTAAAAATTATAAAAATTTGTTTGAGAAACATAAACTTCGTTTGGAGTGTGCTGTAGGAAAGAAAGATGCCATTTTACGCCAGCGCGTTTATTTGCGAACAGAAAGTTTGAACTGAGTTGTTGTCTGATTTTATTATTACGAAATCTTGTTTTTGGACAGTCTAAATGAAGCTCGTCTTTTCCCCAGAGCATGAGAAAATTGCCGATGGTTATAATTTTCGATTCCACTCTACTCCTAAAACCTAGCTTGTGAGCGTTTCTCACTAATTGCTCAGTGTATTTTTACAAAACACCAGTATGGCCGTATGTATAAAAAGAAAATACTTTTTAATGAGGTCAGAGACGATCCAAGAACCAGAAGACAGCTTAGGTTTCACTGATAACAATGAATGATACTAAGGGAGCTTACGTAAGCTATAGCTATTTTACAGCGGAAAACCATGTCACAAGTAATTTAGTGTTAACATCTTGAGTTAAAAACGTAAATTGGCCACCATAAAGAGCTTCAAAGTTGACGTTTAATCGCTCTAACGAAGGGCTAACGCTCGAAACGTCAGCCTTTCAACTCTTTACGGTGGCCAATTTACGTTTTCACTCAGTCGCTTACACTAAATTACTCTGTTATACTCTCCCACCTACGCAGTACCAGTTTCTTTAGAAACGTACCCCCTTTATTCATGTCACAAGTAAGCGTGCTAATTGTTTGATAAGAGTAAATCAGTTGTGGGCATGATGAAATTGAAATTCTAACGCATTGGGGTCATGCGTGGGTAGGCGGGGGTAAGAAAAAAAAATCGAATGTTCGGCTCAAAGATATTTGGATTGAGGAAACTAAAACCTGATATCCATTCAATTAACCAGACAGTTTCGTGACAGTTTCTATCTAATAACTGAATCCCAATTATTCTAGACAAGATGAAAAGATGACAAGGAAACCACAGATTAACACGAGTAAGGGGTTTAGAGGTATGCTCCCCCGGGAAAATTTGACATCTAGAACTTCGAAAACTTCCAGCACTCTAGGAATCAAAGAGTGCTCATAGGCTAAACAGATGGCGTTAGGTACTTTAATAGGCGGTGATAGACCGCCGGTAACTGGCCTTTATTAAAAACCCCAAAAGAATAAGACTAAGTAAGATTCACACAGAACTCACAACTGTAAAAGCAAAGAACGGTATCTAAAAGATCAACAGAGGGTCAATTATGAACCTCACTCATCGAATCCAGGAAGTGGTTTTGATTTGTCTCGAGGGCGTTTTATTTCACGCTCATAAAAAATGAATGAAATCTTTCTTCATTGAGCAAGAAATTCACACACTCAACACTTCCGACGTCATTCATCTGAGAGATATGTACAACGCTTGTTATATAGAAACCTACAAGTAGCTTAATACCAGCGAGTTATGTGAAGATCAGTGGTAGAGCCTTGGAACGCGAAATTCTTACAACGGTCTGGGGTTTAAATTCTCGCAAGGGGAACTCCTATTTTATCTCTGCTTCATGCGTGCGACAAGACGAATAACAAACCATTGTCTTTTAAATAATTAACGATGGCAAAAAAATTGACGTAATTAACAGTCAATTCAATATTATTTCTAGTCAACCACATTCGTCAAGTTTAGGTTTCTTGGCTTGTTGTAGTGTCTCTGTGGTGGGTGTGTCTGGTTCGACTGTTATCCCGGACAGAAGATACCCTCCTGTACCATTCATGTTGATTTCCGGGTGTGTGCGGGCAGGGAGAACCTGGGGAGAGAAATTAAGATAAGTTATTTGGCGGTTCATTAATGTTGATGATAAAACTGCTTTTGACGTCTTTAAATGACAGCTTTTTGTGATGTACAAAAATCACAGAATGAATAAAATGAACACGGACTGCATGTAATAGTCTTGAAAGAATTGGAACTGAATTGAATTTAATTTCTTGAGACACAATCCGTGTCATTAGAGACTGGATCATTGGATAATGCAATTCTAGAGTTTTCGTTAGCTTTGTCATCATGGGTAATGAGCCATCACATCACGCGCGCGCACGAAGGCGAGTTAAACCAGAAGTGGTTTTGTAAATTGTAACATTCCTTTTTTTCGTACAAAATAAGTTGGGAATATTTATCTATATTTTGGGGCGTCTCCAATAAATATTAATTCCACTCGCGCTTGTTGCATATGAGATGCTAGATAGCCAAGGAGGCCCATAGGACGCGCTCGTGGAATATTTTTCTAATATTGAAAGAATTTTGTGAGAGCAGTAGCACGTGGAAAATCATTTGAGTGAGGAAGGCAAATGTCACAAATTTAAAAGCTGAATCAAACTTTGGTTATTTGCAAAGGATTGCATTTGTTAATTCCTGTGTGCGCTCGTTATGATCGGATAAAAAAGCATTTTATCCCACTGTGGCTCAGAATAAGTGGACAATAAGCTTCGTATCCCCTGATGCACCCTCGAACTAAGTGAACTACAGTCTTGTTCCGTTGTGACAGATTTTCGCCTATTTTTTTGCAGGAAAGTTCGTTTGCCACAACACACACAAGCTCTCTTACCTGATAATGTCGCCACCATGTTTCAGACAGATGAATATTAATAGCTGTACCTTTCTCCCTCAAATTTACATAACACTCCATCAAAGGCTGAAAATGAACACAGCAAAATTTTTTAAGTGATCACATCGACGCTAGAATAACACCATCTTCTCTTGTTGTGAACAAACTGCCTTAACGAGGAATCTCTAGAAAAGCACCCGAACCTAGAAGTTCCTTTTTCCAATTTGTCCACCTCCGTTCACAATACAAATCCGCTCCCTAATACTTCCCAGATTGTGCACGACTCCGGGAAAAATATCCGCTAGTATAAGGCTGGTGTTAGATAAAGCAAGAACCTTACCTCTTTGTACTGACAATAAACCACAAAGGGTCTGGATGGGGCAAGACGAGGAAGGAGAGACATTACAATGAGGCTAGGCTGAAAACGGCTCACGACAACCAAACTAAAAGAATATAGAAATAAAAATTTAAAGTTAAAGAGTTGACCAGGAAAGACTGAGGGGGGAGGGGGTGTGGAAAGGGGAAGGGGGATGCTCTTCCCTGAGATTCAGGCCCTAACTTTTACATCCCTCACAGCTTGAAAAGGCACCCCACCCAAATGTATACCTTATTAACTCTATTAAGCGCTGCAGAAGGAGGCAAACTTTCGAACAAACACCGCACCTAAACGAAAAATACTACCCTGTTCCAGGCGTTCAGTTAATAAAACCGAGCACGACAATGATTAACGCGATAAGCCAGGTAACGGGAGGCGTGGATCGGATCGCATTATCCGACCCAAGCCTCGCCCGTTTTCTTACTCCTCCGCAGCTATCGCTCCGTTTACTAATTAGACGCCTGGAACAGGTTAGAACTTGAAGGAAGCTTAATTTATTCACTGACTCTGGATAGAAGCAATGAGTACAAGCAAGGTACAACTTAGTAATATTCAAACCTCTTGGAAAATACTTTTAATCACGAAAGTGAGTTTCATTCCTGGAATGAACGCCGCATCGGAAACGCTAAAATGATTTAAGACGCCGCGGCGTTTATCAATAAATACCACGGTAACCTATTGAAGGCCAGAAGTACCCTCCTCCAGCAGTTACACCATATGTGACAAACTAACATTTTACCTGTCTAAATTTCCACGTTCTAATTCTTCTCGAGCTCTTGCTTCCTCAATTTTTCTGCACAATCTCCGCGCGGATTTTTCCTGAGGAAAAGTTGATATTTACCTTTAAATCATACACTAAAACAGTGGATAGCGTGGAAGGCGCGCTCTGATTGACCCTTCAGACTCCGAATATTCTATGCTGTTCACTTCCGAGCAACCCGCAAGGAATTTGTGCCCGTTCTGATTGGTTATATATATAATCTTGTGATTATATATATAATTCAATTCTGGCTGAACGACACTCAGTCAAAAAAAGCACTCTAAACAAGAAGTTCACCACTTCATCACACCTCCTCGTTCATGGAGTTTCCACCTTCTAGTTCCTCCTGATCCTTTCCTGAGTTGTCGCCATTTTCCGAGAGCTCACTTGCAGTTTCTTGATCCCGAACTGTGGAACTATTTGCCTCAGTAATTGATGCTGATCTCTTTTCAGCACCTAACGAGTAACAAGCACTATAGTAAGTGATATTTTCAATATTTAATCATATTACTTCTCCAAACCCTTATTCACATGTCTCTTCGCTACGTTATCCAGCAAACAAATGAAAAGAAAGAGCTTAATCATCATCTGGAAAGTATTACAATGACATGGCACCACTTGACTTATTCACAGGGAAATTGTTAGACAATTAGACAAAGAAATGTTCAAACTTCATTTATGGGCAAGCTTTCCTAACATCATTTGACAAAGTTCATCTTCATTTCCCAAACTTAAGGAAACTGCTTACTTTCCTTGAAAAGAAAAAGGTCTTACCATGACTCAGGACCCAGAATATCTCAATTGCTTACTCAAGTTTTGTCATTATCAGACTGAACAAGTCTTTCACTTCAATTAAGCTACAGTTGGACACAGTCTTGAGCTTAACTATTTGACTCTCACTACAACACCTGATGCTCCCATTCTGGTTAAAAGACAGTTTATCTACACTGCACCACATCAAAATCACAAAGTGAACCAACTCTGAATTATTAACTTAACATAGATAGAGAAATTTTTAACTGAGTTTTGAAAAAAAGAAAGCAAAGTAATCGCAACTACCCATCAGAAAAAAAGGATAACATCATTAAAGTAAAACCAAAGCAATCCAGGATCAGTTTCAATACTCAGTTGAAAACTGCTCTATACGCATGAAAATTAAATATTTCTTGTGTGCTTCACATGACTTTATGCTCTTACTTTCATTGTTCTCAGTAACATAACAACCTACTGTCTGTAACATCTTACAATTACATGTCCTATTTGACACCTTACACATGTTACAACACTATGGACCAGTTATTCACATGACGTCTCACTTCAACCACAATTTTACACAATCAGTAGGCCACAGACTTTCTCTACAAGGGGTTGATTTCATTGAGAAAATATCCTTCCACTGTTAGCTTACAGCCCTCCTGACGCTGTTCACAAAAGTAAAAGTTCAGATAAAAGGTTCACCTAAATTGAGTGAAACAACAGCTAAACTTTATTTAAATAATCAGACCTTTGAGTTTGACTTATGGTGAGAAATACTACAGTTTTATGATGCTATTCACACTCCAGTAGTATCACATTACTGCAAGTTGAATGTTTACCTTTGCTTTGGCCCAGTGTTGTTACTTTATCCATTGCAAATCCAATCAAACATCCCAAAAAATGCTTAGGAAAGTTGAAATAATCTAGTGCCTGTCTAAAAAAGAAAAATATTTTATACCAAATAACTACAGGAAATGGATAAATACCATTCCGACAAGTTTTTATTTTCTAATTTTTATTTTGTGACCTGACCTTGTATATTTTTAAGTATTACTATACTGTACATAAATTTCTAGATTAGTTTGTAACTTTTATTTGCCAATGAACCTCATTTTATTGACTTGTACTGAATTCAAATACCATAGGGTGATTTTACAAATTATTTTCTTTATTATTTCACTTTTTATTAGTTAATTGTAGGTCCACATCAGCCTCGTGGCTGCCACTTATGTAACCTGCATCACTAAATAAAATGATTGATTGATTGCCTGTGTTACTCCCAATACTATGAAACTGTACACAAAATCACACTACATTTGTTTCACTGTGCATTTGGTAAAAAACAAGTCTGTAGATCAGGCATGAGTATTTTGGTTTGTTTGGTATAATCTAAATTTGTTATGATGAGTAAAAAAAAAGAAAAAGGTTTTTTTTCTAGGTGGTTTTTCAAAATGCAGAGAAAACTGAGTTTTGAAATGCAGCTTTCCCTTAACTTAAGAAACATAATTATGAACAGTCTATGGGCAGTAAAAGTAATCAAATACCAAACACCTTTCTTAGCAATTCTTTTCCTATAAGAGAACCAAAAAAAGCTATTGTTCTTTGTTTTTTTTAGTTTTGTGGGTTTGTTTTGAAAATTAAGGGCAGATAGACAGCAATCTTTGCAGAATCTTTCTGTGTGCACTTCCAGATGTCACCAGGATATTTTTGTTCATATTTTTTCTAAGTCTTTGAAAATGAGTTTTTACCTTCCTGGAAAATCACCAGAATAAATCTGAACAAGACTTCCATGGCCTGTTCGTAAGAAAAGATAAAAGTTGTGGATGTCACTATGATCACAATACATGAGATGTATGAACCTTTTATCCTCTAGAAGTGCAAAGATTCTAATTTCTCCAGAATCAAACATTGAGGCAATGAGAATAAAAGAAAAGACCACCCATTCAAGAAACTCTTGATTAAAACAAACCCTCTTTGTCAGTACCATTGAAAATGTATAGAGAACAGTATGGAGAATATGCATATTGATGTTAAGGTGTAAAGATTAAATCCTGAAGTGAAAAGCTTTTTCAAAATACAGTCATAGCTATTCATGATGGCCACTCTTAAGTACAGAAGGAAGTGGTTGTTATGGAGAGGAAATGATATTTACACAGTGCATGTTTGTGTTATTTTGAAGATTAGACATGTATCTGGTAGATATGCTTACTTAAGACAATAAAAACAGTAGTAAAGCAATCAAATTCTATCAATAACAGGGAAACCAGAAATTGATGCTTGGAGAAAATTTCCAACAAAACAAACAAGAAAAGTACAGTGTAAGTATTGACAAAAAAAGTTTCTCTCAATTTAAACATAGTGTTTCCTTGAGTATGTAGTCTTTGCCCAGACAAAACAGGTTGCCAGGTTCTAAGAAGATGGCCATCTTAAAGAGACAGACGTATTTACAAATGTGTTATACTTACCCCCCATTCTCTCCAGTAGAGCTCCTGCCACCATCCCTTGACAACTTTCTGCCACCATAATACAACAGTGTGCTCTTACATTTGACAGTGTTAGAATCTGAGACAGTGTGTCAAGTCTGAGGTCACTAGAGGAAACATTAAATATATCCCTGATAAATGCAAAATTGAATAAATGACACAGAACTCTAAACATTTCAATGACTGTCTATGGGCTTATCCCTATACATTTGATGTTTATTGTAGATGAGAGCCCTGGTTTGCATGTGATCTGACTGGCATTTGGTAGTTATACTTTATCACAGGGAATGCAACCCACTTACTCAAGGTCATACTTTTGGTTGTCATGTAAAAAAATACCATTATTCAACAAACATTCATATATTCAGACACAGTTGAACCTGCTTTAATTTTCCTTTGGTGTCCTACAAATTTATAGAAAAAAGAATTTGTACAAAAATATACAATTTTACTTAAAAAAATTTTTTTTTTGATAAGGGGGACTTCCTAAAACTTGTGACTCCTTAGAACTTGCATTTCTTAAATTACACATCAAAATAATATTTAGTAATCATTATCTTCCATCAGTAGTTTCTCAAATTTAATTATTTCAATCTTTTAGATGCATTTTTGTGACACCCTGAATTAAATTTTCCTTTCTTTTGATGGTTAGCCTTATATTAAAACAAGTTTTGTTAAAAGTGATTTTAAACAAGTTTAATTCTATTTTCCTTTGTTTAAATCAACCAGTTTGAAATCATTCTAACCTGAACTCCATTTTGCCCTGAAAAATACATTTGAAACATACTTGTGTAGAGCCCACAAATTTTAGCAAACAGAATTTTAATGGATGTTTTCAATTAATCAAAAGCTGAGCTCTCTATATTTCTTAAATGAAATAACCAAACTCACCATATTTTTGAAGCTCCTCTGCAATAGTACATTTGTGCTATGAGATCAGTGGTAGGCCTCAGTATTGAAAATCTCACAAAATGCCTGGAAAATAGTAAATTTACTGCATTAACTTTCACTGCACATACATTTAAATGACAAATACATCAGCTAGCCAAATCATACTTTTTCATTTTCTTGTTCTTGTACTTTGCTTTAGAAAACTGTGTCCTCTCGTTATATGTCATACTGTTCTCTACCAGATGTTCAACAATGTCCTGAAACCAACCAAAACAAGACAAATGATGTTCATTACTTGACCTGTTAAATACCCCAAAAAAAAGCTGTCTGTCACTGTACTGTTGTAGATTCCTTTCCTAAAAATTATGTTTACATTGTATTTGTATAGGTTACATGTCTATCACACTAAACTGACCTTGCCACTAACTCCTTGTGCTTTGAGATTCATTATTTCATCTCTGGACAACTTCTGTGAAGTGCCATCATTTTGTAGGAAGCGATTACTTTTATCATCTGCTACAAGAAACAATTCATGACTTATGAATAAATTTTTTTTAATTGCTTTTGGTAAAGACAGCGTAATACAAACCCACTCATGTCTTTCATAAATCAAACAATGAAAAAAATGATGGTATTTTATCACAGTCAGACCTGTATTAAGCTGCTCCAAATAAAGCAATCATCTTGTATTAGGCAGTTAATTTTCAAAGTCCTGAAAAGGACTTTAAGTTTCACTTCTATTAAGCAGTCACCTCCATTAAGTGCCAATGGCCTGTTAGTATTGTCCTCCTGCCGTATTGACTGGTTTTGACCAATCAAGTATAACTAAGGTTAATGATTCATTCAAGTGAAATTTCATCCAAGTTTAGATGTTAGTAGTATTCTTGACATTGTACATGAAGTGGTCAATTATGTCATAGAATGGCATTATTTTAGTTTTTTTATAACACTCCTATGCAGTGGAACCTGTCACCCCACAATTTCCTGTAGGTGACTGCTAAATACAGGTTCCACTCCATTTTTCTACTGTAAAGTAATCCTCACTTACCAACATCGTCCTTTGCTGCAAGAAGTTCGTCAACATCCTCTGTTAAATCTAATCTGTTCAGCTTGCCCCCTTTTACCTCAAATAATGATCCCAGAGGTAAACCAATTGCATTATCCAAAGTAAAGTGTAACTTATCAAAAGCTTCCTTCCTAGTGTAGTAACAGAAAGATTCATTTAATCAGTAACATAAAATATGAACTCCATGTATCTTTAACACAATAATCTGTTACCATTTTGATTTAACCATATGTTTCAAATTGGTAATCACATTCATCATTACTTGACAGGAAACTGGGAAAGTTCTACCATTCTCACCATTGTGGGACTGATGTTAAAAAGTTCTCAAGGACCAAATATATGGAATTCTTGACCCAATTCCATTAATAATGGTAATTGAACAGAGCGGAGTGCAATTTGGGCTAAAATCATATGCATGATCTCAAAATCGAATGAGTGCACAGTGCGAGTTCAATTTGAAATCGCAAGTATGATCTCAGACCAAAATTGCACGACATGAGGTTCAATTACCACTTTATTACATCCATTTTGAAATCGCCCAAATACAGGACTTGGTCAGTTCAAATATTTTATTGATGCACTACCAAACTGTTCTGAAATTAAATTCATCCATTTTTTGGGGTGGAAAAAGTAAGAGTTGGCAAACTGTCAACAAAAGTTGCAAAATTTGCCACATGATACTCTTTGTCTTTAATTTTTCTGCAATTTGATCGGTTACTTTGAACAAGCCTTCAAATCTGATTGGCTCTTTTGTTTTTAGTGTAGCCTCATGTTTCCTCATTGGCTGGGAAAAAGATGCGATTTAAAGGAAAAAATGGTGCAATTTGTGAATAAATCGCATCACTTAGAGCCAATCAGATTACAGGGACCACCAGTGATTTCAAAATGGGTGTAATAAAAGCTGATATATGTTTTTATACTTAAAACAACTCACAAAGATATTTCTACATAAAAAACACACCATTATACTTTTTGTTTCAACATGTACTAAGCAAACAACGCTTCTTTTCTGAATTGTTAAATCTAATTACAAGACTTGGGAAGACTTCAAATCAAAGCTCTATGCTCCTTAGAGCTCTCTTTTCCTCAATATCTTCGCATTAACTGCATTGTTATATGATAACACACACACAAAAACAGTTGTGTAAAAAGTATTCTGTCACTTTCTTTAAATTTTTTTAAGCCTTAATATAATTTATTTTCTTTTACAATTTATATAATATGTATATTATGTTATTATGTGTGATAATCTCTCAGAGCTATGAACTGTGTGCTTTTCTTGTATAAACATTTTATAAATTGAATTATTTGACCTTCTGGCCCTATTAACATGGTAATGTTGTTTTTCCACTTTTCTTGCTTTCTTTTTTATGTGTGCATTTGTGCTATCTTGCTGACCTGTAATTTATTTTCATTTGATGCTAATGTCATCTGGCATCCCCTTATATTCCAGGTAGCCATTAATCTTACTTTATTTTCATATTTTTTGCAATACCTTAATCAGGCAACAGAGCCGGAGTACAAACAAAAACTATTTTAGTTGTTATTGTTTTGCATCATCTGATTCAATTGAGATAAAGAAAAGAACATACTGTACGCTAGTTGAGGAAAAAGAGCAGTATGAAGAAAACCTAAGGCAATTTCTTTAATGTATATAGGTAGTACTTGTATGAGAGTCAATAAATAAATTACTCTTTCATGCTAAATTTTGATGATTTTGTTGCAATAATAGTTACATGTAAGTGTTAACCATTCTGCAGAGTGTAGCTGTGCAGGTATCATCAAGATTCAAACTGCACATTTCAGAATCAATAGAGTGGCACTGATCAAACTAAAGGGGCATTTGACTGTCATCTGTGTCCGAAGGGTGGGTAATTTTAACCTTTCCTTCCCGGAAGTGGGGAATTTGAACCAGAAGTGTCAATTAGTTACAGCGGAACACACGTTTTATCGTTTAACGATGACGAGTTTACTTTTGTGAGTGAATAGCTCAGAAGAAAAGGTCTACGAGATCTAGGTTTTAAAACTTGGATAGTCAACTCAATTGCCGATCAATGAGTAGAAAGTGAAAGGTTTTGTTTCCACGTGCTTCAACAATGGTTTTGGATGAAGTTCGATTATCATCTTTGACATCCCTACCTTCCCTTACGAATTCTCACAGCTTTTATGACATTCTCCTTCTTTAAAATCACATAATCCCCTTCATTTATCATCTTCGGTGGGGAACGGGTGGCAAACATTCACCGAAACATAGTACACTACAAATCATTTAGCAGGCAGCCATCTTGATTTATTATTTTCTGCATGTAACATTGCATGTACATCACATTGTAGCGTCCTTCAAAATGACACGGCTGACTAGTTTGTTTTGCAGGCGCTTATATTTCCCGTTCCATAAGGGAAAACATGGAGGCCCAAATTGTATCGGGCAGTAAAATCTTTTTACTATCGTGGTAACCTTACGATGCTTATCATAATAGATCCCTGGAAGTACATGAGATAGTATAGAATGGGATCGCAGACGTTAGAAATTCTAAGGCAGGGAGTTTGGGCCTCACTCACTGGCGGTTGGTTCTTTGACCCTCATCAAGAAATATTCACTAACACTTTTCATTTTTATCTATGGATGTTGTTACTTTGCCTACCGTTTTCTCTTTATCTGGTGAGATAAATCATTTCTATAGAAATTCTTTTAACACTCATTATTTTTTTTCAAAAACAAGTTAAGAAATGAACGATAGAGATATCAAAAGTTGACGAAAACTCCGATACTGCAGATTTCTGCAGATTTCTAGCTCAAAGTTTATCGATTGTTTCTTCATATAGATTATTTTGTTGTGATTTTGATGAAGGTTTTCTTTCGTTATTGCAGGGCACAGCACCTTCGATTTTGGTCTGGATTCTGTATTCCATCGTCATTGCAGTCATTTTCTTGGCGATAAAATGTCTGAATTACCGACTACACTTGATGTTCGATGGGGAGGAAATACGCACAGAAAGTGAACAACAGGAAGAAGTACGGAGTGGAGAATCGGGAGGCGACAGAGACGAGAATTCAAGAGCGGAGGTTAGAAGCAGCACTGTGGAACATGGAGGGGAAGTTATTGAACTGGAGGTGATAAACCGTTGTTCGGAGGAAGTTGCCAACGAACCCGGGGCCGAAAATGTAGCGCAGTCGACAAGTTGTCCTTCAGGCTTACCTCCACAGCTACCTCCCTCTTCTACTTCTCTGCTTCTAAACGCATCGTCAGTCGCAACTGCTACAAAACCTCACCAGGTCCAACTCATATGCTTGTTAACTATAATATTTACCAGATCTTTTCATAACAACTCCTGAAAGCCATTTCATTTTTTTGTGCACACAGCCACAAGCAATTTTCTGTGTGGTGTTTGTGAAATATTCTTTACCTGGTAAATTAATCATGTTCTCACATTTCAAGATAGAAAAAACAACCGCTTATCTTTTTATTTTGTTTTAAGGCTAATGTATTTTTTTGCCTCTCTGCTTGCATCTTTTGTAATGTAATCAGCCTCCACTAGAACATGACAGCTTATCAGCTATCAAAGTTTATTAAATCCCACTCTTTTCTTTAAGAGGACTTTGCTTCACTTACAAATTTTGAGTCCATCCTCAGACTATTTTTTGACTAGTAACTTTAAACCTTACCTGGAAAGCAAGAGGAAGGAAAAGATAAAATGACCAAAATGGAACACACAAAAAAACAAAAAACACTAACAGTAACAAAAATAATTCAACTTCATCATGTGGGTAACTAGCCCCTTACATGCATTCCCTTCTTCACTTGTGAGTCTAATCTCTCTGTGTGGAATGATTTACTTCATTATGTATGACTTTGATCATCAAATGTCAGAACTTGGTAATTGCCTTCTTTGATATTCATGACTGCTCTTGAAAGGGATCTTGTTGTGCACATCCATAATTTGCAGTACTTGCCAAATGTTTGACAGCTACTGATAATAATTTATGATCGGAGCCCCCTCTAAAACTATTTCTCGAAGCAGCATGTACTTTTTGTAAAACATGATTGAGGGAATTCTTACGCTCTGCATTATTTGTGTTATCTTAGACAGCCTTGTTATCCTTATCTCTTTTCTCTTGTCTTGTGGAAGCCAGAGCCATTAATTATGCCTCCAGTGTACATGTACCTAGTTATTTTCATGATTTGATGTTTAATTCTCCCTTCCTTCCTCCCTCTTTGAAATGTATTCTGTTGCAAAGTAATTAAGAGAATTTGGTGTTTTATCAAGTCACTGGTAACACCTTCAAACTCATGACTTGTTTGCCTCTGGGAGTTAAAATTGTAGAAAACAAAGTAAAGAAAAATTGTTGAACAGGTGACCACGGCTTAATGAGTTTTGAACGAAGTTGCCTGAGTTCACATTGTGCTAAGTTTATTGTGCCTTCATGATACCAGATAGTACATTTTGTGTGGGTGGTGCAAACTGAAAATGCTGGGGTATTGCAATCTCAATTTTCTACAGGAAACTTAGAGATTGATCGGGAAATGGTTTTTTGAAGAACAAAGCAGGAAAAAGGGGTTTTAAGTGCATGGTAAATGAGAAAATGCAGGAATCAATGTCATTTGGAGCACAGTTTCTCAGATACTGGCATTGATCCAAAATGCCTTTCTATGCCACCTATCTACTGAATTGCAGTAGAAAAGTTTGTCCAGGTAATAGGATCATTGTCCCAGCTGGTGACTGTTTTACTCTGCGCACAAACCTTAAAATTAGTCTCAAATTCTTAAATTTATAGTAAACTGTTGAAAACATTAAGTCATGAAGGGTTATGGAAATTCCCTGCAATTTTGTAGGCTTGAGTGAGTACAAACCTCTGTGTGTTTTATAAATGTGAAATAAACTAACACCTGAATGTTATTTTGCTCAAACAGAATGATCCTGATGAAGTTGATGATAAACAAGACCAGATGCAGAGATTGGTTGAACAGGAGAGAGACCACTGGGAAAGTGAAACATCTCTGAATGGTGGTGAAACCAGTGAGATTGCTGTATTTCAACCTCCTTCTGTAAAATCAAGAATTAGGTCTCCACCTCTTGTTTCTCAAGTGAGCATTGCTTCTGTTCCATAGTATTTAATGATTTGTTAAAGTTAACTGTTTATTGTTGAATAATCCACTATTCAACAATATTCATTATGCCTGTGGCAAACAGTTGTTTTGGTACAATTGTTCAGGTGATCATCAGACCAAAAAGGTAAATTTTATTTCATTCATTTATGTCCAACTTCTCACAGAAAAAATGATTAAGAAGAGATACTTTGTAGTCCTACTTTCTATGCATGTTTGCAAGAAAGTATCAAACAGACTTAAATGTCTAACTAGAAGCCAATTGTGGCTTGTTTAATTGCAATAGTGTACTTAATCATTTGATCACCCTGCGCAGAGTTACTAATTAGCAAGGTATGATACAATCATTGACCAGTCAGAACACTTGCATCTCTATTATTATCTAAACAACTATACTATAGAGAGATAAGGGAAGTAAGAAAGGTGTTCAAAAGGAAACCTAAAAGAGATCTTGTTTTCTTTAGCAAACTTCACGTACACTGCACAGAGACACTATTTGAACATTGACTGACTGTCCTTTATGGCACAAAACCTCTTATTCTATTGTGTATATCTCTGAAAAAAGGCAACACTACGGCTAGGCCATGCCTATATTACAATTGCTCTGGCATTTGTAATTTCAGGGGTAAAATCAAAGCAATTAAATAAACTAATCTTCATCCTAATCTAAACTAATCCACATGAATTAAGGGGGTAAGTTTCTAAAGAAACTGTGGTGCTGCATGGGTGGGAGAGTAAAGCAGGTAATTTAGTGTTAACAACTGAGTAGAAAATGTAAAGAGCCACTATAAAGAGTAAAATGTTTTGAGCATTAGCCCCTTGTCAGCGTGAGTGGAGGAATTGTGGGTTGTGTGTGGGTTTATATGCAGAAAGTGGAGCTACGCTATTGGTGGGAGTATGGTGATGAGAAAACAAAAATAAATTAGTTGAATGGAAAGCACTAGTTGACACTATAGGGATTAAGAGTGTCAATTTGGAAGATAAATTTTTGTTCTAGTGTTTTGCAACTTTCAGAACTGCCTAGATATAAGGAAAGGCTGCAGAATGCCATATGTTGAATGCTTCCTTGTCATTTCTTTCCACGTCATGAAGGTGTTCTCGAAATCAGTCACCTAGTTGTCTTCCTCTTTCACCAATGTATAACCTATTGCAATAAGTGCAAGTTATGCAGTAAATGATGTTGGTAGAGGTACACGTAAAGTGATCAGTGATTTTTATGGATCTCTTGTTAAACCAGTTGCTAGACACTTGAATCTCCCTAATCCTTCTAAACAACATATGGCAGTTTGTGGCACATGAATTGTCTTTTAAGGTTGCTTGCCCAAGGCTCTGAGGAGCTTGTCTAAAAAGATATGGATTCAGGAAGGGTAGAAAGTTAATAACAATTTAATTTTAAAGTCAGACTTTAGCTTTATTGTATGTTGTAATTTTTTTTTTTTTTTTTTTATTTCAGTGAAGTGGTGAAAAATCTTAACATAATCACTTGTGAGCCTTTTGTACACATTTCTTTCCATACAAAATATTATAATTATTATGAAATTAAAAAATAAGGAAAATACTGTTTGTTGGCTATGCATAATTAAACATTTCTTTTTTTTCATGATTGTCCATGTTGTTTTGCTTGATTTGTTTGATAGGGAAGTGAAGAACAAGGAATACATAAAGTAGAATGTTATGGTACGTATATCACAGGAAAATTAGGTATAAATTATTTTGAACATTTTTACCAAATTCAGCTGTGATTCTGTTAACCCTTTAATCTGTAAGAGTGACTACGAACAAATGTCTCCTCACCATATCTGCCCAGAATTACACATTGAGTTTGCAAGAATAAAGGAAATGATCACAAACTAAAGAAGCTCTTGATTGTTAAACAAATTCTCCTTAACAGCACCTCAGGAATTGAGTAGAGATCAGTATTGAGTAAATGTATACTGATGTTAGGGTATTAAGGGTTAAACTACTGGGACATTAAACTTGATCAGCTGAATTACTTGTTGAAATAAAGTTTGAGGGCCATCAAGCAACAAACTGCAAAATGCAATACATTTTGATGTATACTTTATTATAATTACATTCTTTACAAATTGAAGTTATGTATTGAACTGTCATGGAAGGGAACTTGCAAGCAGTAAAATTGTAGAGCTTTTTCTTTTAGACACTGACATTTCTTTCATTCACTCCACA